CTTGAAGTTATAATTTATGTTTAAATTTATCCTTTCACCCCATCATTTATATAATTTGTATTCTTTTTTTATTTTCATCTACCAACGTTTGAACCTATGCCAAGTGGTTCATTGCCAATGAACCACAAAGGTAAAAAGATAGTTGGTATTTATATAATTTCTATTATATTGTTCATGTGGTTGTCTAGTTCCAAATGTGCTAAAGACATAGGAGTATCAATGTGGATGAGGATTCTCAAGCTTCCTTATCTTGAGTTACCCAAATGTGAAAATGCAACAGATGTTTGAAGGAAAGCAATTTAATCAATGGTGCCAGTCTACACAGAATTGTAGAAGTACCAAAGAATGGAAAAAAAGAAGAGATAAAATCCTAAGTGCACAACAATGTAGAAGGTAAATAGAGTGACAAAACTTTAGCGTCTATGTTCATTGTTCCTTTTTCTTTCTTTAGGTGAACCCTGTTTATAATTCTCCTTTGATGCCATTATGTCTTCAAACAAGGAGCTTGGATGCTTATGCTGAAATATCCGTCCCCACCTAGCATAGGCTCGTGAAATTCAGAGCACCTCAAGCAACTCACATTTGAATAACAAACTTTTTGACTTAATCATTTCAAGTCTCATGGGTCACATTTCCTCCACGACTAAGTACTTACTTAATCAAAGAGGTTTCCTTTAAATGGATTAGGCTCTGCTTCATTTCATGATATATTGAGCTTGAATCTTCACTTGTCCAGGCTTGGTGCTCCGTTTTCTATTATTTTGGACTTTAATTAAATATCACTTCATTTTGAATCCAAATATATGGAGTACATGTTCAATAAAATCATTATTGAAGATTATTTTATCCAATGTTGGCAAAAAATTATGTGTATATAATTTAAAATTTTTAAACTACAACTAAATACAAGGCATTTAAGCAAAAATTTACTTGAAAATTTTAAATTACAAATTTTCTAATTACATTAAAATTAAATTAACATTTATAATTAACGAAAGGTGGGAAACAAAAATATTTGTGAGTAAATTGGGAAATTGCGCTTTCTTTCCAAAATCTTCTTGTTTTATTAAAAGAGTTGAAGAAAAAAACATGTAAATTCTACATATTAATTTTTTTTTCAATTCCCCCCCTCCTTTTTTTCTTTAGACTAGCAGTAGAAAATGTATACTTTTCTTCCTTACTCCTTTTGCCCCCTTAACTCTCTTTTGCCAAGCACATCGATAAAGATTTTAAAAACTACTTTAACTTTGTAATCACAACACTAATGCTTAAACTAGCGTTTATCTATCTGTCCTTGTATGTGTGAATTATTTAAAATTGACTTATACTCTCTCCGTTAAAAAATATATGTTAAAAAATATAAGGTATTTTTAATATTTCAAAGCGTAACTATTGTATTTTTTTTAAACGTATCCCTCTTAAATAAGTCATTTATATTTATTTTAAAGTAAAACACCCTTAAATAGGAGTAAATATGAAAAGATAGTTTTAATTTAAATACAAGTAATTATATTTTATTAGAGGATTTGATTTGGTTAAAAATATTTTATACTTTTAAACTGAGAAAGCACTTCTTTCATTTCAAACTACTCAATTCGATCTTTAATACAGGATAAATTTAATCAATTTCATACTCATTAATAAATAATAATTATATTCTTAAAATTATTATTTTTTATTTTCTCCTTCTATACAATTGATAACCATGATTAATTATTGTATAGGAATTTAAATGACAATAAATAAATAAATAATGGGCAAATTTGGAAAAATAATAATTATATTTCTCTAACTTTACCTTGTATTACAAAAAATTTTCAAAATTTTCCTCTTATTATTGACAAAAAATGTTTATTTTATATTAAAGACCAGGTGGAGCATATATTTAAAAATTCAATAAGTATTTATTAACATTTCCACGTTATATCTTCATTTATTTCACTAACGTCAAACTTTCAATGCATTGTTGTGGACATATTTGATAATAAAATCAATATCAATATTCTAATCTATTAATTGTATTCTTAAGATTTATATTTTAATGATAAAAACACTTCTCAACGAGTATCTAGAAGGTAGCGTATCCTATCCAATGTTGGGCCGATAGTTCGAGGTTTTCTCAGTTCAGGGCGCTTGTGCTGAACGTCATGGAAAAGCGACACGTAAGTGAAATGGAGGTGAGTTGTGGGGCCCATTTTGACCCAAATGCAGGGAAAAAGAATTCTGGCGTTTAGTGGTGTGCATCTTTTTAAGTGGAGCCTTGCCACCGCCCCACGTGTCGTGGCCACAAACTCATCACCCTAAATTATATCGTACTAACTACTCTAGGGTCCCATGATTTTACAATATTTTTTGGACAAACCATGATTTTATAATCTTATCACTCAACATTTCAATTTTTGTTACATCAATTTTTTTATAAAAAATAAAAATATATTAATAATAAAAAAAAGATTAATAATACATAAGAAGAAAAATTAGCAAGAAAAGATAGTCCACATGTATCACATTTTTGGACAATACAGATATTAAAATTATCCAAATTAGAAGTTTTGTAATATCGTGGTCCACTGGGTGTTGATGGCTAGAACTAAAACAAACATACGGATAAGCATGCTGTGAACAGAGTTACCCAAAAACAGGTGTAGAGTAGTAACATGAGATTTACTGAGAAGCAATCTAATCAAAACCTTCGTTGTTGAGAAACAAAAGGACAGCATAGTTATGTTGAAAAACGCATGAGCTTGATTATGAAAGTGATAGATGAAAATTTCTTTACAAGTTTTAAGATCCTCACTTCTTCTTTTGCAATGAATGTTATTCCATCTGCATGCACATTTGAAAAATATGTATTGCTTATTAGAATGTTTAATGACTCGTTCAACTGGGATCACCTTACCTATATGTAAAGCATGATTTCTTGTATGGTAGATCAGCCATCTGCATGCACATTTGAAAAATATGTATTGCTTATTAGAACGTTTAGTGACTCGTTCAACTGGGATTACCTTACCTATATGTAAAGCATGATTTCTTGTATAGTAGATCAGATACAATAATAGATGAATGCATTAGACATCTAGAGTAACATTTTGTTTTACATGATTTAAATCATAACGCAGGATATGAAAATATATTAATTGTATTTCAAGTCCCCTGCTTTGACCTTTTTTTTTTTTATTTCAAATCTTGGAAAAACTAATTATGGCAGGCCTTCTCAATAGAGTGCGTGTGTCTGCACTTTGGACAGATTAAAAAAAAAAAAAACACAAATTGTACTTAGTTAGCTGAGCACTTACTCCTCATTTATTGGGTGGCGATGGAATATGACAATTTAATTATTATTGTGTTTACATTTATCTTTTTATTCTTATTAAATATTAATGAAATTATTAAATGTTAAAGTATTTTATTTTTAAAATATAAATATTTAATAGAGATAAATTTTTTAAATTTTTAAGCAAAATTAATAGAGCTTAAAGTTTTCTTAATTCTAATGAAAATATTAAAAGTGATTATAAATAGAATTAGAGGAAATAAATAGAATTTTTTTGCTAATAAAAAAGAGTCCATTTTATTAATAGCAAAAAAAGTCAAGTACACATACCAATAGTTAAAAGCCAAAAAATAATACTTAAAAAAATTTATTACCATACAACCAATCACACAAAAACTTAAAAAGAAGAGGAAGAAGAAGAAGAAAAAAACTCCAATAATAGAAAAAAGGGACAAAAAAAAGTAAAAATTTAGTCCAGACGAATTGATGAATGCCTTTTTGAAACAAGCGATTAGAATGACAAGCCAAACGGCATCCTCAATATAATACTGAGTCTGTGAAGAAGCAACAAGCGAGGCAAGGGAGATCATCAAAGTGTTTCCACCAAATCAATAGGAACCATCTTCATTTTAACATCCACCGCAAGGATAAATCTCCACCTCTTTTACAATATCTTTACTGACAAGACAGAAACCACAATTAAAACAGACAAATTGAGACTCGGTCTCTAATGCAAGGGAATTTGCTTGTTGGCCAAAAAATATATTTTTTTGTTTTGTCCATTGTATTTCAATCAATAAAAATACTCTCATCACGTGCCTTAAGAACGTGAATGAGGGAACCCTATGCAGTGTACAAGGCCTAATCTTTTCCATTCTTTCCTCTTCCTTTCCGTCTCTCCCTCTCTTTTTGTTCCCCCGGATCAAGGGGGTAAATTAATGTCTTTCATAATCACACTCCATCCGTTCTTTTTCTTTGACAAGACACAATTATTTAATTAATTCCACACATCACTCAAAATATAATTGAATAAATGAGGGTTATGACATAACCCCCTTTTCATTATACGAGTTTTTTAAATAAAAATTTCTTTAATGATCTTATAGATCAAGCCGTCCATCTGTAATTTAACTCATATATAATTATTTTAACTTTATTTCTAGGCAGGTCAGGATCTTTTATTCATTCACCATGAACATTTTAAGTTGTACCTCAAAGTTTATAAATTGCTTTATACTTTGAATACCATATCATCCAAGATTTTGTCATATATCCCTCCTCATACTATTTGTAGACCATTTTTCATCATGTTTTAATGAAATAAAAAATATCAAATTTTAATAAACTTTTAATTATCCTTTTATTATACATACATGTTTTAATAATGTGATTTCTTCCACCAAAAATTAATGAAGATAAAAGAAAGTTGATGGAAATTCTTATAAATAGAATATTTTTTCTATTTGAGCAATTAAGAATGAAGGAAATAGTAGATTTCTTAAGATAAATTCTTAATCATGCAGCATCCGCCCAAATCAAGTAATTTTTAACTCAATCGCCAAACAAACACGGCCTAAATTTTCCAGCACATGTTATGTTTGCCATTTTCTCAATTAAAATATCTTTTTGTGTATCGGGACCCAGCGGGTGGGGCCCACTCAGCTGCTGACTAGTACACCCCCCACCCACGATTCCTCCTTTCACCGTCTCTTCTTTCTCCGGTTTTAATAAATGGGAACGACGCTTCGAGAAGAGAAGCCATAGCCACACACAAGCCAGAAGCTCTGGCTCTCGCTTTAGCTCGTGGGCGACTCACGAGACCAGCCAGCTAAAGAAGCCGTGAAGTTCACAGATCACGGGAATCACAAGAAAGAGCAAAATCCTCTCAGATTAGCAGTTATTGGATCTCACTGTAGAGAATGGAGAGTTCTGGTTCAGACACACCAAAGAAGAAAAGTGGTGGAAATGGACAGGTTCTGGACGGTTCGAATATTATGGAGTTAGTTGGAAACGATCAAGTTTTCAGCGATTTCGTGGACCATAAGTTTCAGGAGCTGGATAGAGACAGAGATGGGAAGCTCTCCGTGAAGGAGCTTGAACCTGCCGTTGCTGATATTGGTGCCGCTCTAGGCTTGCCCGCTCAGGGTACTAATCCCGATTCCGATCACATCTATTCTGAGGTAGGCCATCGTTTCTCATCTCCCTCCCCTTGTTCCCTTCATGCCTTTCTGTCCCCCCCCCCTAAATGGTTTAGTTTACAACGAGACATAGTATTTAACCACAACATGAACATGAAGTGTTTATATCGTGTTCAGTGTTAAATGTCCGTGCAGTTTCCTTTCTGAAAAATTCTTGCTTCCCTGGTTTTAGCTTTTGGGTGACATTGAACGTAATAAGTTGTATAGTATATTTATACAACTTGAATGTTGTGGAAGCTGTTGAGGACTAAATGGCTATGTTATACATGGTAGTGCAGTGGCCTGGAATTTTAGTTGCTGAGTGGATGAGTTAAAAAATGAATATGCCATGGCTTTATTTGGTTAATTCCTATGGATTATACAATATATACTCATTTGCGAGAGGGGAAAAAAGGTAAGCAGAAACAATTAAGTCAGAATTAGAAGGTCCTTGGGTATGAATCTATCAAATCTCATTAAAGAAGACAAAGGCGAGGGGTTTGTCTAAGTTTTAGTATCTTTTCCGTCTATCGGTCTCAAGACTCGCACCATCACTTAAAAACTTGTAAAAACGTAGTACCATATGATTATACAGAAATTTGAGATATTATAAAATGTTTGAGAGCTCCAACTTATAAGAGCTCAAGTTCTCTGTTTACAAATCCTACGGTAAATCGGATGTTACAGGTATTAAGTGTAAAATCCATTGCTCAGAAGATAAAGTTTTACAAATGCTTTGACTTTTGATTTGGGTTATGTTTTTGTTGTAATCCGGATTCTAAATTCCTAATTCTTCTCCATAAATTATTATCATGGCGGAAAAATTATTAAATTGCCACCACTATAATGACGTCGTCAGTATCATCATCAGATTTGTTTCAGTTCACATGTCTGTTGTTGATTTAGTATTATTATATCCTTGCTTTGTGTCTTCAGCTTTGTTGGGTGGAAAAGTATTGGGCCACTTTCCATGCATTTTGGCTCACTGGCAAAAACCTATTTGGTCTTTTGTGCTTTGGCTGATGATGAATAACGAGGCTTGAAATGAATACTTTTACATAAAATTGATTCTCTTAAGCCGTGAGGAAGCAATGGGTGTAAATTCCTTCTTGGAGCTTCACAAAGCAACTTTTCTCAAACTTTTGACTTCTAGCTGCCCCTAGAAACGTCTTACTGTGATAGGTTGGTCGGTTTCGTGGGACATTGCTTTTTGGTTTTGATTGGTTTCTTGTTCAACTTTGCCTTTTGTGGCCTTTTCCTTATCACCTGTAGGGAGGAATCTGCTGACGAATGCTACGAAAAAAATGTCAAGATGGCATTTAGACGTTTATTATGTTATACAGGAACTCTTAGACGACAAAGAAAATACTGGAAAGATTAGACTTCAGAGTAACAAAGTCAATACGCTATTATTGTCGATCATGAACTCTGTGGACCTTCGCTGCATTTTGAAGGCATTGCTACAAGCAAAAGTGTTCTTTTAGTGGCAAACTTAGAGAAAAAATTAAATTTCCCACCTACCATGCCCTAAGGTTTGGCAATCAATAATATAATGCAGGAGATACATAATCACAAAGAAAGAAAGAAAATAGCAATAAATATTGATAAGCTGTGCTGTGTGTTAAAAGGCCCGATAAATGAAGAATAAATGGAAGGTCTTTTGACCTTTTCCCCTTTTTTTGTTGGCTACGATTTATGAATTATTGCAGTCACTACTTTCATGCAAGGCGAAGATGGTACAGTGGATCAAAATAAAAACTGCTTTTCAGTTACTAGGGGCAGATTGCCCAAGGTCTCCGTAGGATCCATGTATATATTTGGAACAATGTCGTTGGTGCGGTAACACTTGTTCCTTGTACTATTGGTTATGTTGTCTGACAATATTTGGACACTGCGTTTCATTTTTTCTACACATGTTCTCCAAACATGAAGAGATGATGGGTTATCTTCACTTGTTGTAAATTTAGGTCTTGAACGAATTCACCCATGGCAAGCAAGAGAAAGTGAACAAGATTGAGTTCAAAGAGGTACTCTCAGACATTCTGTTGGGCATGGCTGCTGGGCTGAAACGAGACCCAATAGTGATACTTCGTATGGATGGGGAAGATCTCCTTGAGTTTGTTAGTGGACCAAGTTATGAAGCAGAAATGGCTTCCATGTTCTCCCAGATTGATTCTCCTGATGCTTCACTCCGTGAGCACATAATTGGAGCTCTGGAAAAACTCTCAGTTGAGCAAGGGATTCCTCCCACTTCAGATTCTTGGGTAATTATTGTATACAACTCTTTCTGATATTCATGAAGAATCTGTCACAATTAACAATTTTTACTGATAAAAGCATGAATATTTTTTTTTTCCTTTTACCCAAGATTCTCATCTTCCATATAAACGAAAATGTTTCTCAAAACTTCTTTCTTTTGCTTCTCCCTCATGGGTTACTTTTTATTGTTCAGGTTTTTAATAACATTGTGGAACCAGCTCTACAATCTCAAGCTGGCCCAGATTGGGATAAACCTGCTTCTCAAGAGACATTTTTTGTGGAATTTAAGAAAGTAGCATCGGCTGTGGCTGATCATCTGAAGGAGCAACCTGTCATTGTTGCTCACAGTGAGAACACATTTGATGGAAGCGGCGTTAAGAGGCTATTGTCCAACAAGTTTGAATTAGACAAGGTTCATTAAATTTGTGATTCCGTGGAGAAACCTTTCCAATTACTGATAAACCTTTGCATGCACCTCCTTATGTATAATTTGCAACTTTTGGTGGACGCAGACCTTGAACTCAGCTTTAGAAAACATACCAAAAGATCGCAATGGAAAACTGTCAAAGGAATATCTGCGGGTGGCACTTGATGTCGTGTCTCCTTCTGCTGGTTTGCCTCCAGTTGGTGCAATTGAAGAGGTATGTTTGTCCCTACCCAATCCACCTTTAAGTTTACTTCACGTTCATATATTTATTTCCTTATTTAAACTTCTATCAAACATTGTGTACTGGATATCATTTAGTAACAAAGCAATAAATATGCTGCAAATGTTGTTGAAGATTTGATTGTCACATTTTCCTGAGCCCATTTGCATAAGATGAAGATTATGAAGTAAAATTAATTGGAAAGGATGATGTCAAATCCATCTAAAGGTATTAATTAGAATAAAATTCCATTGCAGTTCAATTTTGTCGAAGTGTTCTTATTTGATTAACTTTATTGTCTCCTATGAAATTGTCTTCTACAACTTTTGCTCCAGTAGAGACTTGACATATTTCGTGTATTCCTGAACAAATAATTGAAAAATATACGTGTTTGATTTGGCAGATGGATAAGGTTATTGGCGAAGTTTTGAAGATGATAAATGCAGATGATGGAAAGATGGTTAAAGACGACGAATTCAAGAAAATATTAACTGAAATACTGGGGGGTATCATGTTGCAGTTAGAGGGAAATCCCATATCTGTTTCTTCAAATTCAGTTGTGCATGAGCCTCTAGGCTCCTCCTCTTCGCTCTTGCAGCCATCTAGTGAAACGGCATAGTGTTCTCAAGTATGTGATGGGTAAAAGAAATAAGTATGATAATAATAATAATTTTTTTAACTTACGTAAACAATCATTATTAATGTAATCTGTGTTTTGAAAAGTGATTTTGTACGCTGAGTCTCTGGGTGTAACTCATGAATACGAAAATATGGAAAGCTGCGGAGGCTCAATGGCCATTGTGCCTAGTTGGTCTTGTTGGTCTCATCCAGTTGTGTACGGTGACTTCGTTTGCGCTATTGATGGCAAAATTAAAGGGAAAATGTTTAATATCATAGCTTTTTCTAATAGCTATTTATAAGTGAGAATAACATTTAAGATTTTTTTAAGATAATTTATTATAATAAGAGTTTATCAATTTTGCATCAGGTATTATCTTGTGAAAACATATATATATATATATATATGTATGTATGCATGCATGCATACATACATACATATATATATATATATATATTTGTTGTTAAAAGTTAAACTTTAACTTATTAAATACATTTTAACAAAATGTACAAGTTAAGGCTCAATTTTAATAACATATATGTGTTGTCATACAATAATATTTGATGCAAAATTGTGGGCTTTTATTGAGATAAATTCTCTTAAGAGAATTTTAAATGTCACTCTTTTATCTTAAAATTCTATTCATATAGTAGTTTGTAATAGATTTTGATCAAGTGAGTGGTCTAATTTTACCGGTTCAATAAATATGATAATAATTATTTAATTTTAGTTGAACGGTTGTAAGAAATTTCATAATATAATATTCAAAAAGTACTCAATTTTAAATTTTAGAAGGAGACAACATATTTGGATATTGTTTTGATTGTAAAAATTGTTTTGAACTTTTAGAAGAAAATATATATTAATTTTTAAATATTTATGAAATCTAATGATTATAATTAAGATATTAATTGAATAAATAAATTTAGATTACTCGTGGAATCTAAATTCACTTTATAATTCCTCACCGTGTGGCAAAAGGATGCAGCATGTGCGGGAGGATCTCACCACGCATCAGTGTCAAGTACTCGAATGGCATGAAAGTCCTTGCATAGAAGTACTGAAACTACGTATAATTAACAGTTAAATTTGTTGCCTACACACAATGCACATCATTCTAGGAAGTCACCATACAGATACACAGAGATCCACTTGTTGATTCGCATGCACGCTCAAAATCCTCACTTGATGCAGCTTAACATCTGGATTTATGAAATTGAAAAGTTTATAACAAGTCACACCATTAGGCACACTAAAACTTGTGAATTTGATCAAGCTGAGGCTGCCGAATGATTTAAAAAATAATTTTTGAGGAAACTTATATAATTTGGAATTTATTAAGAATTTTATATTGAAGTTTTAGCATATAAAATTTTAAAATAAATATTTGAATGTTCTCAACTTAGTTCTATTAATTTGTAAATCAACTTATTCTTTGGCAAACTAAAACTTGTGTTCAAGAAGTAAGAACTTCATTCTAGATTGATAAATGGATAGCCAGTGAACCCAATGTTATAATTCCAAAGTTTTATTATAAAAAGAGAACTCCAAAGTTCTGACAATAAAAAAAAAAAAACTAAGTATATATGTTTTGTTGGTGTATAGTACATAATTCAGTGACAAGGCGTGAAGTGTTGAGATTCAAACATTGATGAAATTTAATCAAATAACTGTTTTTTTTTTTGCACTTTAAGTATTTCGAATATATATGTAAACGAGTTAGAGGATGAGCATAAGAAATTAAAAATGGAAGTAGCTTAAGTTTTTCTCCCCAGTTGTTTTTGTAGAATGCGATATGATATTAGTTGATTTCCATGCCTATCGACTGTGGAATTAATGCATTGTAGAGCTTGACATTCGACACCATCTATTCCTAACCTGAAATAGAAGGAATTAATAATGAGACGGCGAGATTCAATTATTTCTCTCCCCTTAATACTACTACTCGGTTACATTTTACACGATTTTTTTTAAAATTAAATATCAATGAAACCAATTAAATACAATTTAAATTCTTTTTTTTTTAAATTGAGAAGTAAAATAATGAGGGGTAATTTTATTAATAAATTATTGTTATTATTATTTTAAATTTCCGGGGCCTCTCGGCCGGTATACATCAGGTCAGCCGAATTGTTCTGTCGTGTTTATTTCACTCCAGTGGTTCGACGACACGTCTTCATGAATGAGCCAATCAAAAGTCGAAACGTGTCTTCAGTATTTTAATGCGCACGCATCATCTCCCGTCTTTGATGCCGATCGCTTCCTTTTTGGGTAAAATCAAAAAGGCAATGTGTCAAGGCCACAGCTCCATCCACGTTTCTCACCTTCAGCAGTCAAGATAATTTAAGTGGCCGCCCATTTTTGTCTCACTGCTCTTTCGTCAATTATTCATCTATGTTATATCTTTATAAAAAAATTAGAAATAAATGAAAGTCTGACTCCATCCAGTCATTTAATATCATTTAAAAATCTAAATGACATTCCATCCGGTCTTATACGTATAAATTATTTTCTAAAAAAAAAATTGACCGTCTCTTTTAATATCACTTGTATAAAATGATGGGCTATTAATTAATTTCCTTCAGTTTTATCCTTTAGCAATTTTCTTTTAAGTATGATAAGGGGTTGCATACTTGCATTGCATATAATATAATAAAGATATATTATTTTTAAAGATGATGTATTTCATGATAATAAATTAGATTTCCCCTATGCAATGTAATATAATTTATACATGAAATCTATAAACAGAGGAAAAGTTAACTGTCATATGCCGTGTGATCCCTGATGATGCTTCGTGTTTGAAATAAAGAGGTTTCCTTTTACAGGTTGTCGTGCATTACCAACCATGTCTTGCTTGCATTTAATTATATATAGAGGGGACCAACATGACCAAATATATATGTTGGCTTTCGATTCCAACACACTGTTCCATTGTTTGAGTTGAATCGAGAACCAAACGCTATAATATTTACTATAATCTATGACTTTTTATTGTACATCTAATACTCTTTTAATATTTATAGTATTTGACCTTTCATCCTTTTGTTGGGGGGGGGGGGGAAGAACCAAGAACCAAACGCTATAAATAGTGGAAGAAACGAGACCATTCATGACCTATTGCAATTGAACTTGGACAAAGAAAACAAAAATGGATTTCTTAAGCTTTGCATTTAGCAACAGTTAAGCGTTTTATTTAATTGCAACAACATAATCAAATCGATGCAAATATTAAAATGTACCCTAAAAGAACCTTCACAAAATTATTGAGTATATAATTAACGTAACTAATCAATTATTAAATCCTTTTTTGTTAATATTCCTTAATTAACTAATCAACATGGCTCTTCCGTAAGTATAATAACTTAGCGGAAGAGAACTGCCCTTTGTTCTCCATCAACAATTTCTTTTTCCCAGTTATTTACAGGAATGTTCCTTAATTTATTTTGTCGGTACGGCCTTATGAAATAACACCAAAAAAAAAAACAAATAACACAAATACTAAGATAAAATTTCATATGAATCACTTTAATACTGATTGTTGCCTTTGGACTTCATCATGATAGGCTCAATGATTAGGTCGCATTGGGCCTAACAAGGTCAGTCTAAAACTATTGTTAGTGTTTAGTCGCTTTCTGACCATATATACAAGTAATCATTGTTAACGTATAATTAAGGGTAGGCATTCAAATGTATCCTTTTCTAATACTTTTTATAATATTTTAAATTTTAAATTTTAAATTTTATTTTTTAATTATTAACTTCTATATAAAATAAAAGATATTTGAATATCTTAATATCCTAAAATGATAAAAATTTGTATTTGTTATGATTTTCAAAAGGAAAAGTCACAAATACATCCTTTATTTTTGAAAAATCATAACAAATACAAATATTTATTATTTTGGGACATCAAGATATTTAAATTTCTTTTATTTTATGTAGAAGCTAATAATTCAAGAAAGAAATGAGAAACAAAATTAAAAAGTTGGGACATTACAGGGGTATTAGAGAAGAGCACATTAGAGACGCATAGTCTAGACAATTACCCCATATCATTAATCATGTAAATATGATCAACCCCATCATGCATCGGATGATTTTCTCTCCATTACTTTTTCCCTCCGCCACTCCAACATTGCAAATCTAAACTGTTTAAATTAAATTTATACTTTTAAAAATTATTAAATTTAAATAACTAAATCCAATTTAACAATTCAGATCTACAATAATCCCTCCTCTGCTCTCTTCTGTAGAAGAGGAAAACCAACTCCGTCAAGCATGGTCTAACAAGAGGAATGATTGCAATGTTGTTAGGCCTAAAGTCTAAAAAATACAATTTTGGGTTACTCGTTATTCTGCCATGTTTAAAAATGGGTGTCAAAAAGCGAATTGCAGCGCAAGGCGAGTATTAATTTTAGGAAATTATTGCAACGTTCCAATATTTACATTTCATGCATGCAGCATTTTTCTTTTAAAATGCAAACTGATATTATTAATCATAGTTGTATTTTAATGATCGTCCGCTAACATGTAAGCCGTGTTCATGAAGCTAGGTGGTTAAGTCATGGATCCCATGCGCGTACGTTTGGGGATGACAAAGGTCGATCTAGTTTGGTCATCAAGGACTTGTGAGGAGACGAGAGCACATGCATGCATGCAAGCATCCATTTATAATGAATGTGGAAAAAATGGGGTATATATATAGATGCAAGTAAAAAGATGGTGTTTATTGAGGAAGACATGGCTCTTGCTTCTTCAGGGAGTGATGGGGAATTCAAAGGCAGAGTGTGCGTGACTGGGGCTTCTGGCTTTCTGGCTTCTTGGCTCATTAAACGACTTCTTTCGTCTGGCTATCACGTCACTGCAACTGTCAGAGATTTAGGTTCCTATATACATACATACACGTACGTACCTTCGTTTCTGATCAGTTTCTGTTTAATTAACTTGCGGTGCTGTTAATTACGCACGTGTAGGAAATGAGACGAAATTACAACATTTATGGAGGCTGGAAGGGGCAAAGGAGAATCTGCGCCTCGTGAAAGCTGATTTGATGGTAGAAGGCAGCTTCGACCATTCAATCATGGGATGCTCCGGCGTCTTCCACACTGCCTCTCCTGTCCTCAAACCTTCCTCAGATCCCAAGGTACCATTATCACATCTATGTATGTATGATATATATGCATGATACCTATTCTGACTCGACATATATATCCGGCTGTACGCGTCTGTGATGAAAAAGGAAGAGATATTGAAGCCAGCAGTGGAAGGAACTCTTAATGTGCTACGTTCATGTCGAAAGAACCAGTCACTTCGGCGCCTGGTTTTGACTTCATCTTCTTCAGCCTTGAGGGTGAGAGATGATTTCGATTCCAGCATTCCTCTCGATGACTCATCCTGGAGCTCCACCCAACTGTGCGAGAAACTTCAGGTGCCTATCTATCTCTATATATTCATTTACTTGGCTCCGGCTCCTGCTTTTCCATCACTTTTCATTCATTGCGCGTACATGCTGCGGCAAAAAGCTATGGTACGCATTGTCAAAGACACTGGCAGAGAGAGCAGCATGGGATTTCTGCAGGGACAATGGGATCCATTTGGTGACAGTGCTGCCATCATTCATTATTGGACCTAGCTTGCCTCCACAATTATGTTCCACAGCATCTGATGTCCTCGGCTTGCTCCAAGGTACTACACTGTGTGTGTGTGTGTGTGTGTCTGTTGTCAGAAAAATAATTTAAACGAGTGATTATCTGATGTGCAGGGGAAACTGAGAAATTCGGATGGCATGGAAGGATGGGATACGTTCATATTGATGACGTGGCACTTTGCCATATCTTGGTTTACGAGAATGAAGCAGCCTCTGGTCGATACCTTTGCAGCTCCACTGTGTTGGATAACCACGAGTTAACTTCTCTGCTTGCAGTCCGCTTTCCTTGGCTCCCCATCCCCACAAGGCTCGTCTGTATATGCTAGACATGTTGCTTTTGTTATTATTCTGTTGCTGATTCTCATGTCTCGTGATTAATTATAATATGCTAATATGATTGATGGTTTTGTTGGATTTTCAGGTTTAAGAAACTCGATAGACCCTACTATGAACTCGACACGTCCAAGATAAGAAATTTAGGATTCGAGTTCAAGACTGTCGAGGAAATGTTTGACGATTGCGTTCTGTCGCTTGAGCAACAGGGCCATCTTCCTCCCCGCCCCTCCATGGCATCAACATCATGATCAACACTTTCAACTTGCCATCGAGCATTATTCACACCATCTCACAATGGATTCTTAGCATACACCCCAACTTGAATGGTATTGAAATAATGTGTTACTTGATTTTCTTTCACCTCATTTTAACCAATTACATCCGCTTACACACATATCATACAAAATCTGATTATCCGCCTCGCACTTATGATGGTGGGCAAGTATTATTTTTATCTGACAGTATCATCAGTTACATGCGTATTGATATTTGCGGAACAAGCGTGAACCTTCTTCTTTTCTTTACGTCAAGTAAAACGCTTTACCTTTCCCCATTAACTACTACAGGCCCTTTTAGGATTTCAATTGGTTATAATTAATTAAAAAAATAATTGATTAATATGATTAATTTTAATTATAATTGAATATATTATAATTTAATTTATTTGGATATTGAAATTGATTTCAGCCGTACAAATTATCATAAAGTACATGGCTTTTTAAAATTAAATTATTGATGAAGTTGTATTTAATATTATTAAATCTGTTAAACTTTATTTTAGAAGTAAAATATATTATTTAAAAATAAAATTAAATATATAAGTAATCTCTTAAAACTTATTTTAGAACGTAATCTTGGCTCAATAATCAATTATCATACTTTTTGGCTGTTCGAATAATTTTTCTAAAAATTGATTATTTAGCCCCAATAATTGATTATATTGTCAATCCAACAAGCTGTACATACATCTACATCTACAATCTACATCCACAATATATTGTAAATGTCATCGATTGGTAATATAGATTTACAGTATCCATCCGGCTTTTTATTTTTTATACTTTTTAATTGTTAATTTTTTTAATATGATATAATAAAAAAGATAAAGAATAATGTGGGCCTTATGGTAAAAGAGGTACATGTGGGACCTATAAAAAATAAACTGTTAATATGATATTTATAATTACAAATGAGTAAAATATTTTATCTATTTTTATTTTAATTAATGATACGTCTCCTCTATTTTTTGAAAACTATATGAACATTTTTTTAGTATGAATAGTTATAAAATATAAACCTCCCTTCTATTTTTAAAATTTTATTTTCATCTACCTAACTATTAATTGACCATTAAGTCACGCGTATTATATTAAAATACCCCTATTCAAATATAAATGTCGTATAAAAATTATTTAAATTACTAAAAAATAATTGTTATTATTTAAATGTGTTTATTTTATAAATTTTTTAAAAATTAAATATATAAATTGGTCTAAAAAATATTCAAAGACCTAGTTTATGGACTCAATAAAAAGAAAAATAAAATAAAATAATTTTTAATAATTTGAGATAGTTAAAAAAGTCTAAATAAATTTAAATGCTAGAAGTGTCAAGACTTGTGCTCCGCTATAAATTTTTTATATGTTTAAATATTTTAAGTTTGGTATGAATTGTGGCTCTAAGAGGAATGGAGAGAATGAAAGATTTTAATAAACTTAATTTTAAAAAAATTAGAGTAGTGTGGTTTAAAAAAAAGAGTGTGTGAGACCTACCATTAGAACATGTAAGTGGGATCTACATTTATAAATTTTGAAAAATTTAACTAAGGTGTAAAAAAAATAAGATTTTTATATTTTAAGAAATCATGTAAAATTCATGAAAAAATTGGTGATGAATATAAAAATTTTAATAAAATAATAGTTGTTAGATATGCAAAATTACCATTGGTTTAAAAAAAGAATTGTGGGACCTATAATTTAATTAATAAAATTTATTTACTTAGGATGAAAAACATTTTCCATATAAATTTTCATTTGTAAAAAGTAATAAGATTTTTATATTTTAAAGATCATATAAGATCCATAGTAAAAATTATAAGTGAACATAAGATTTTTAGTAAAAATAATAAGTGTTAGATATATAATAAAATTTATATGGGATAACATGATTTAGATAAAAATAATTTTTTATATATTTATTATTAATATAGGGTAATAAATTAAAATAGTTTGTGTGAGCATATATATAATAAGTTTTTTTATATTCTTTAAATGCATAAGGTATAAAAATCCATTATGTATGTAAAATTTGATTGTGGTTTGAATACCTATGAAAAATATTGATATAATTATGTACCTCAAGTCTGAGCAAAAAAAGTAAGGGCTATAATATTAATAAATTTATCTTTCATTGCACACCTAATCTTTTCTTAATAGTTATTGTGCTACTTGTAATGCTTGTAAGTATGATTGATAAATAGTATTAAAATATGGATTATATTATTTTCTTGATTTAGAGCCATTATAATTATGATTTATAAATAATATTATCATATAAATTATAGTAGATTCATTATAGTATATATTTTATTTTTCTTAAAGTGATACATTGGACAATACATTTTGAAAAAGAACAAATTAGATTATATTTTAAATTACGGGAGGTGTGAAATTTTAAAAAACAATATTATTTTTTTAATATGTATAAAAGTAGTTTATTGTAAAATAGAAGCAATTCTTTAGGGATATCATCCTATTAAAATTTTAGTTTCATACTTGCTGGATGTGGTGATATCTTAAGAAACAAAAAAAAAATGTTGTTGTTCCTTGAATTTTAACTTGCATGGGACAATACATTTTAAAATAAAATAAATTATTATTTATATTTTTAATATGTACAAACATAAAAAATTTTAAAATAAAATACGCTTTATATTTTAATTTTCACAAATTGATAAATTATAGAGTAAAATACATTGGCATCCCTTTGTTTTATTAGAATTATAAAAAATTCTTCTTTATTTTTAAAACTTTTACTTTAGTCTCATTTTCAATATGATTAGGAATATTATGCTAAATATTCTAAAATATTTAATTTATTTTTTACTTATGTTGAAAAATTTAAATTATTAATTTACTCTCATAATCTATTTGTCTATCTTTGCTTCCTAATTTAAGGAACTTCAACAATTTTTTACCACAAAAAAACTTTTAACAATTAATTATGACAATAATTTAAAAATATTTTACCAAAATTATAAAATTTAAATAAAAATAAATATAAATTATATTGCCTAATTTATCTTTCAGTCCATTAATTTTTTTTGCATAAACATGTTTAGCAATTATCTTTTAGGGGTTACATGTTAAAAAATATAGTATATTTTTAATGTTTGAAGGTGTAATCATTACCTTTTTTAAAAAAAAGTGTCCCTAGTGAATAAATTATTTGGTTAAATTACATACAACCCCCCTAAACTTTGAACCATGTATAAATAACCTCTTTAATCTTTAAAACTTAATAATAAACCTCTTTGAGTTGTCAGATTTATGTAAATAATCCCCTAACCATTAATTATATGCCTCATAAACTTTATTTTTGTGTGCATTAAACTTCCAAACTTTAATTGATATATGGATAACCTTTTTAAACTTTAAGTTATATGTAGATAATTAATGTATAAAATTAATCATATAGAGTTATTTGTATAAATATAAGAGTTGAGGGGGATTCATTATAAAGTTTTAAAGGTTAAAAAAGTTATGTATATACGAGACAAAGTTCAGAAGAGTAATGTATAATTTAGCCAAATTATTTTATATTTTTTTTAGAGTAAAACATTCAATTAAATGATAAATATAGAAAGATGGTGTTATTTTAAAGACAAGTAACTATTTTATTAGGAGTAAGACTCATTTAAAAATGTCTTATATTTTTTAAAAAAGATGTAGTATGTGTTTAATTTTTTAAATAAATACCAAATAAATTAGTTTGCATAACTAATAAATTTAAAATAAAAAAATTAAATGACTATATCAAGATTGGTATTTTAGTCTAACATATGAGACTTAGCTGTCAACTAATAATTAAATAGATAAAAATAAAAACTTAAAATTTGAAGACATATTTGTATTTTGTAACTTGTAATTATTAATTTTAAAAGAGATTAATATAAATTTTAAAAATAAAAAAAATTTATTATTAAGATAAAATAACGGAAAAAAATAATATATTTTACTAGAAGAATATTAAAATAATTTTTTAATATTTATATTTATTTTTATTCTTAAAAGCTAAAACATTATCATGGCAAAGGCTATAAATCTAGTTCCTAATCAATCATATAATCCCATGAGAACTAAAAGCCATGCGGCAATATATTTTATTACTTATAAGTTGTCATCGAACAAATTATATAATACAAATATATTGAAATGGAAAGAATTATATCTGAGAATAACATCATAACTTCTAATGTACTATGAACAAGGAACGTGAGTTTCATGTCCAATGATGTTGTTTTGTATTACTCCTCCTTCAAAGACATGAATACATCAAGGGGGTATTGAGTTACTTCGATAGAGGGCACATGTGAAAGGAGTGAGCCAGATATCCTTCTCACAGACAGACAAAGACAAAGATCATGCTATGGTAAACTACAAATGCATGGACATCAGAGGGTGAAACTCAATTTCTAACTGCATCTATAAGAGAAATTGATTGAAAGAAGTGCAGGTTCAACGTCGTTTCTGTCAATTCCGCAACACTATACTGCTTCAAGAACACGATCCTTCCTACTCTTGAATGTCCTTTGCGGCACCATTTCCTTTCCTTGGTATTGAAGTATATGATCAACTTCTTTGACAATAACTATCAGAACTCGGTTGCCATGTCTTCTTTCAGCGACAATACTCTCACTTTTCGTTTTAGCTGGCACAGTCACCGATGTTCTTGAGCTTTTTCGCTAATTTTAGGGATGCATTTTCCAACATCAGTGTCGTCCACTGGGAACATCTTACCTCCTACAGCCAAAGTAACAAAGCATCAATATGTTCACTGTGTTAGTCTTCTAGCTGCTAGGTCTTGCTACTTGTTTTGATGTTATATTTACTTACACACTATCACTCAACCAACATTACCTGTCTTGCTATCGCATTCTTCTACTTTAGCCTCCTTTCCTTGCATCTTGGACGAATCTCGGGTCTCTGTGGAGCCGAGATATGGAAATGGGACTTTCTTGAAATCATCTATAAGTGATTTCTGGAAAATGCGATCACCTTTTGTCAACCCAGTCACACCCACTCCATCTGGGTCTTGCAGAATCGGATTGTGCACAGGATTCAAACCCTCAAAATTCGACTTCAACATCTTGTCCTTCCTCAGGAAATCAGCTTTCTTGTCGAACCAATCACCCCAGCCTTCCCTTAACGGCGAAACCCTCTTGCCCACCTTCAACAACAGCGCATCCTCAATCCCCGACACCTGAGTCGCTTTTCTCCTCACCAGATCGTCCACCGGTACATCGTCGGAGCCAAACGCTGCCTTGCTCCGATCCTCAACCCCGGCTCCCACAAAAAACCCAGCCTGAGTATCTTCCCATGCCTCAATCGAACGTTTGTCATATACCCTCCGAATAACCCCGCTCAAATGATCAAAGAAATGCCCAGAAACCTTGATTTGCTCGAACGGCTCATCTTCTTCTTCGAATTCGATATTCTTCAAATCGTCATCTTCCTGTTGTTCTTCAATGACGTCGAGGGCGTCGATCTTGTCTTCGGTGCCGGAGATGTTGTCATCGACAGAATCCGATAGGAGAGAGTCACAGTTGACGGAGTGAAGCGAGGCTCTGGAGGTACGGTGGTAGAGGTGGGTATGGAAATGAGGATGGGAGTGAGAAAGGCTAGTGTACAAGAAAGACACCGAAAGCATGAGAAGAATGGACGAAACGGCCGCACAAATATACGTGCCATAAGGAGGACGACGCCGGGATCGAAGATTTCCCAACATTTTAGGGCTTTACGTGACAGGTAAAAATGAAAGCTTGGAGGAGGAGGAGGAGGAGGAGGAATGCTTAAATGTTAGTGACTTGGTGACTATATTGTTAAATTTTGAATGAAATACGTCAAGAGGATAAAGATATGTTGTTTTAAAAATAAATTAATTTTTTTATTTAACCTGAAAATTAATTTTGAATGAAAATTATATTTTACCTGGAAAAATATATACATATACATATATATGTATGTGTATATATATATATGTATGTATGTATAACGAAAGAAATAAAAAAAGTCACCACCGTTCCGCGCATGAATAGGTCCAAGGAATATTTCATGCCGTCAAACAGTGGCGGAGTTGCCAAGCGCTGCAATGCAGGAGCATTTTATTCACAAAAATTGGATCTCTTCTTCTTCTACCTTTGGTTGGTGAAAAGATTTTTAATAGAATAGAATGTAAAATTGGAAATCAAAGAAGGAATGAAATTGGTGAAATTGGAGCATTGCAATCATTTTTAGTTAATGTGATAGGAAATATGAATAATTTTTATTCAGATATTTGGTAGAAATAATGAATTCATCAAGAAAAAGGATTAGCAAATGATCAAAAAACCTCTCAACAAAATATTTTTATATTTAACAGATAATGTGTTAAAATATCTAATCTTTTAAACTATCTTAAATTAATAAAAAATAATGATGCATTAAATTAGAAGATAATCTAAAATAATAATTAGTTGTGACAAAATAATAATTGATTCACAGTTAACATTTTGTCATTTTCCCATTTGGCCATGAGTCATTATTAATATTTAAGGCAAATGAGCACTCATTGATATTTCCACCGTGAATAGTAGTAGCCTTCCGTATTTCTGGAGTCCGGAATGGAAAGACTTGGAGACAATAGACATGGCTATCTGGAATACACTTTAGATGAAATTATAACAATTGGGGGAAAATTAATTTCTCACAAACAAAAAGCAACATTTCCCATGTTTTTTTTTTTAACACAGATACTAGATTATAAAACCAAAACTACACATATAACTAAACTGCTAAAAAAACCATGGCAAGAGTAGGACCCAGCCATTAATTCAAAGATATACTCACTTCATTAAAAAATATGAGGCATTTTTAATCGAATCTCACCCTTCAATAAAGTAGTTACTTACTTTTAAACTAATCACATCTTTTCATATTTACCTTTATTAAACACCCTATAGTAAATATATAGTCATTATCAATAGGGGCATTTTTGAGAAAAAGGCAATAGGTATACCTTAAAATACTAAAAATGCTTTACATTTTTAGCATCAAACTCTTTAAAAAATATCCTATATTTTTTAATGGAGTAAGTATAAAAGAAAAAAATTATATTACACAGTTTACAAAAGTCAATTAACTGTAATAATTATGTTTAAAAATAAAAAAAGTAGACCAAAATGCTTTATATTAATCAACATAAACATATATTAATTATTTCTTATTAGTATAAATTATGAAGGGTAATTTAAAAAAGAGTAGAGTAACAGATTTATTCACAAACTATTTTTCAAGGAGCATTTGATAGCCCAAACTATTAGATGATATAAAATAAATCACGAATTTTTAAAAATAGAGCATCAATAGCTAGCCATTAACTTTAGCTAACGGACGTTATGTGGAGCTCTCAATAACACATGGCACAACATGGGTACAACACGTCAGCATAGTAAAGATGCAAATTTAGCCATAAATTACTTTTTGAGGAGCGTTGAGTAGCGTCTATTATAAAAAAGGATCATCTAACACTTTCCCCTCAATTTTGACCAAACACTATTTATTTTCATATTTATGAGGTTCACAAAGCATTAATCTCTTCAATCTTCTTGCCTTCATTCACAATATAAACTCCAAAAGAAGAGGTTTAATGAGTTCTTATATGAAGACATTCACAAGAATGATGTCAATGAAGTAGAAGCTTGATTTTACTATGCATGAAAAAAGCTTGATCCTAACATAATTTAGTCACGAATTATTTTTTTTACTTTGTTAGTGTCGTCTTTGTGAATGTCTTCAGATAAGAACTCTTTAAACCTCTTCTTCTTAAGCTGAAATTGAGAATGAAAGCAAGAAGATTGAAAAAATTAATACTTTATAGGCCTTATAAGCATGAAAATAAATAATATTTAGTCAAAATTGAGGACAAAATGTTGGATGGTCCCTTTTTTTATAATATAAGCTATCTAGTGTTTTTTGAAAAATAATTTGACTAAATTTACACCTTTATCATGCTGATATGTCATGTTATATGTCATTGTGAGCTCCACATAACATCTGTCAGTTAAAGTTAATAGCAGGTTATTGATACTCCATTTCTAAAAGTTCATAATTTATTTTAAATTATCTAATAGTTTACGCTATCAAATGCTCCTTGAAAAATAATTTGTAACCAAATTTATTACTTTACCTCTAAAAAAATGAGCAATAAATGTTTATTAAAATAGATAATTTTACCTATAAAAAAAGATAAATAAAAAGTCAGTTTCATTTCTCTAACAATTAAAAATGGAGTAGTTAAGAAGCTTGATCTAAGATAGAGGAGAATGCCATCAGCCACGTTGCGCGCATATTCAAAGACCATGAAAGTTTCCGAGTTTGTTATTTCTTGTTTCTGGATTTTATGTGCGCATACCAGGGTTGGGGGATTCTCTAGATATGACAGAGGAGGATGAAGCAGCAATCATTTCAAATGATGCTACAGTTAATAATATGGAGGTGATCACACTAACGTCCGATTCCTGTTATGTTAGAACATTCTAACTCCATGAATGATGAATTATTCAGAGTTATTCTGCACCAGAAAGTTCCTTTCTGACGGAGCTCATAATTGGTGAAACCACACAAGTCCGTTTTGAAATGAAGTTTGGTAACTCATGGCCAGCATTCTCACTGTGATTTCAATTGTAATAATTAATTAGAGCTAGAGCACTTAAGGAGCTATAAGAACTGAAAAGTGAAATCCATTTCCAAGGACCTAAGTAAGAAGTGATAATTCATATATTAGAGTTAATCATACCCTACTACATGCATAAATATATTAGTTTATCTTAACATGCCCAATTCCGCAAACAACCAGCTTCTTCCCAGGGTCCAAAATGGTGTATCGACACAAAAAGGATTCCAAAGAGGATGACCAACCCATAACGCCTGATTAAAGTTCAGTAGGAGCTTGCACTGAAGCAGATTTTCAATCACACCACTCCAGAAGGAAGACGCAGCACAAGCTGACCCCCAAATACACTGCATTCAATTGTATATCACAAAAGTCATGCTGGGAAGTTCTTTACATGCTCTAATAAAAAAGCTGCAAAAGAAAGCGGTGAAAGGGAAGAACTAAATAAATAATGCACTCAACCAACCTTTTGACATAGTAGTAACAGAAATCTGCTAAGATGAAAGTCTGAACAATTTCAGAAATAAGAACCATTGATGGCCATAAACCATAGCCCAGGGCAACCAACAACTGTCCACGACTATCCAAGACCTATTGCATGAAACAATAAGTTGGTAGCGAAATAAGATATAAGAAAGTCCCAATAAGCTATGTAACTAAGGAAATTGTGCTTCGAGAAGCAGCAAATTCAACTGTCGACCCTAAGCTAACAAATTGAATGTCTATATCAGGTTAAGAAATGTAAACGTAGAAAAGGAAAATTGCATAAAGAAGTACAGATATCCATGCAGTAGTTTCTGGAGAAGGACAACTTTGTTATAACATTGAAAATTTACAAGAGACTAATCCTTAAAGAATTGTGTATATATTTCACTCAGAGATAGAGAGACAGCCATCCCCAAAAATGTCCTCTTATTGATTTTGATCAGCAGCACAAGTGCTGCCATATGTGCAAATGAATCAAGAGACAACTAATCCGTTGACTAGTTTAGATGAACACAGAGCCATACCTGAAGAACCCAATGAGCACAGCTCAGGAATCTTGCAACACCCAGTGCAAATACATAATGAGCTGTGAATGGCTCAACAATCTGGAATAATATTAGAAAATAAGTTATATAGGAAAGTAACAGAATTAGATCCCATAAAAGCAGAACCTTGGAAGATAATTTTTAAATAAAAAAATTTTACTTTGGTGTTCTGCATGACCCGCAGCTGGGGCAGTACTGAAACAGCTTCTAGATATACACAAAAGGCCCAGAAAATCCGATTCACAAAATGATGAGAAGTTGATGGATGAATCAACAACGCAAGCACAGCACATGGAATCACCTGCATTCAATTTCAAAGATGGAGGACATGAACCCAGCCGATAGAATGTAAAGTGTATGAGTTGCTGGCAATCAACTATCAGTAACAACATTGCATAATTACATATAAAAGAAAGCACAGTTAAGATCCTTCATGTAGACAAGCACGCCAACAAGAAAGGGGGAAGGGATGAGGGAGAGAAGAGTCACATGAAAACAAATGCAGCAGGTTTAACATAATGCCATGGCAACTGGTTATATTTCAATAGGAACATCATAATAAGCCATGTGAAAACTAAATAGAACATCCCAAACCCACCATCTTCCAAAAAGTAATTAAGCGTCCACAAGGTATTTTTAGTGTCAGCATCATTAATAAATTCCAATGTTCAATGCATCAGAACATGTGAAACACAAACACTGAAGCTGCAAAGTTTTGTTTATCTTGGCTTCCATTTAAAGAATAAGGACACTACAAGAAAACTACTGCATTTTGAAACTTGGGACCATACCTTCCTTATATGTATGTATGTATGTATGGTAAATGCTCCAAAACAATAGCAAACTTACCACATAATATATTGCAAAGTTATCCTTCTCCTCCATGTAACTGGACTTCAGTTTGAAACGAATCATATATATAACCCACAATGTTGTAGCTAAAGTAGCTAAGTCAAGAAGGGTGTGTATATCATATTCCATAACAAAACTGCAGTACAGCCTAACAGCTAAAAATATAGCTGTTAACTCCTGAGATTTGAGTGATAGTCCTGTACAGCATTGAATACCAGGATAAAAGGCTTGAAGGCATGGGAGTTATGGCAGGAAAAGAAACCTTAGCGATACAAACATGAAGCATCAACATCTTAACTCATTGTATGTTGCGTGACACAGGCAGAACCTATAAGAAATTATATTCGTCCCAATTAAATTAATGAGAAAAATGAAAAAAAAAAACAAAAGTACTCTGGTGTTTCCGCACTGAAAAGAACTAGTCCCAGGTTAACGAAGAAGCATCCAGGCTCGAGCATGTAGATACCAGTAACACGAACCAAAACCTTAATCCAGAAATATTAAAAAAAAAAAATCCTTTTTCCTAACCCAAATTTTCCGAGCATTCCAATTAAGCATCAAGGGAATCTAAGGTTCACCCCTCTCACTATCTATATACAAGTCAAGAGAGGCTGGAAAGATCTAAAGCTGGTCAATAAGCGGGGCAGTTCTATCAATCTACCCTATTCACACAACCCAAAAACGGAACACCAAAATATCGCACAATATTTGCTCATAGCTAGACCAATTGTTGATTAATCAAACATATTCCAACGATTAACAAGAAATTCTCAATCAATCAAATAAATCCACCGACAGAATTTCCACAAAATGATTGCTAGTACCAGCGCATGTCTTCTCCTTCATAAGCTTATAAATGAGGACTGAAATTCCTAAGGAGTGCACGGCCTCGGCAGCGACAAATAGATTATCATGATCGTGAACAATGAACCGAAGCAACACAAGAGCCGCCATACCCGAAACCACGGCCAGAAAAGCCTTCACCTTTGGGGGTTGCCGCCTCACCCATGCTGCCAAGGCGTGGATCGGCTTTTTCTGAGGCCTCATGAGGTCGTCGTCGTCTTCTTCTTCTTCTCTTCTTCCTTTTCCCCCCCTTTTCTTTCTAGCCCCTCGGCGAAGGAGAGAATTGACTGTAGGGAGATTATGGGCAAGAAATGAAAGAAATTGAAGTAACAGTTCCAGGAGATATTGGTGAGGGTGAAGTTCTTCAGTTTCGGAATCTCATGTTCTCAAAGAGGATGGATATGCGATTTCGAGCCAATGCAATCTTCGGCCGAAACAGCGAGCGAGGCCGAAAAGACAAAATCGAAGATGAGAACAGATGAAAGTATGTAACATGTTAACCTTTGTTTTTATTCTGATTTTTTTTAGCTGGCCAAAGAAAAAAATTTCATTATATTTTGGCTTGAAGTTTTTCTAGAAAGAAATTCCTTCAAGTTTTTTAAGTGCGCATGATTTTTTTACTTTTTTTTTTCAACTGCTCAAGATCTGAAAAAAAAAAACTGGTAAAAAATATGTGGAAAAAAGTCTTCTTTTAACACTTTTTTATCTTCCATTTAAGATTATTTCATCACTTTGCTGATTTAGGTTTGTTATTATTAAACCACACCACATAATTAAAAACTAGCCTCGACTTTACGCCCATTAATATATTGATATTGATTAATTGATTTGGTTGAAGAGATCTGGTTGAGTTTGTTTCTAACATACAATTTAAAATATGATCAAAGTGATTAACAAGTGTCAAATAATTTTTAATAGGGTTGGGTTTAGTAAAAAGAATAATTTTCTCATAATATAATAAATTAATATTTGAATTCTAGTTAAAAAAAATGCTTATATTTAAAGTTTTTTTGGTTTATGTTCTCATTTTTTATTTTTAAAAATTATTTTATAATATAATTTTTAAAATTATTTTTAAAGCAAAATAAAATGAAAATATGTTCAGTTATGTCAATTAAAAAATAATTTTAAAATTAAAATGAATTGATAATGATAATTTGTTATAGGTAGTTAATGAAAATAATTAATAATCAAATTTAGTCAAAGTAAGTATAATTTTTAATAATTAAATATAATATATTTTAATAACAAAAAAAATAAAACCAAAATAACATAAAGGTGTTTCTATTTTTTTGTTTTTAAAAACAAAAATTGAAAACAGTTTTAAAAACAATCAAATAAAAAATACATATTCAAATATAATTGCATTTAATAGAAAGATATACTCTTTCTCAAATGATAAAAGTAACTATAAATAATAAGAAGAGTTAACAATAGAGAAAATTAATCATTTGATCTTTATAATTTTGATTCAATTGTAATTTAGTCTTTTAATTTTGATTCATTATAACTCAATTTTTAAAATTTTGACTCAATTATAAATCAATCTTTAAACTTTTTTTTTTATAATTTAATTCCTGAAGTTTCAACCTTTTAAATATTAGTCCCTATATTTTAAAAAATATAAAGATTAAACATAATTTAAAATTTATTACTAATTTTAAATTATTAAACTCTTTTAATCTTTATAAATATTATGAATGTTAAAAGTTTAAAATATTTTTATCCTTACAATTTTATTATTTTAAATATAAAAATAAATATTTAAAAGGTTAAAATTTCAGAGATTAAATTATAAGAAGTAAAGTTCACAGACTAATTTATAATCGAGTCAAAAATTTTAAGATTAAATTATAATAAATTAAAATTGAGGAATTGAATTATAATTAAATTAAAATTACAAGAATTAAATAATTAATTTTTTTAAAAAATATATAGCAAGGGATGTATATGATATGAGCGCGACAAGGGATGTGGATCCCCTAGTGTCTAACGCTGGTTTTCTTAACTGGAGTACATTGTAAAGAGATAAATTTGTTATGAACATGACACTGCCCCCCTTTATTATTATTATTATTATTATTATTATTATTATACATTTCCAATTAATTCATAAACCAATATTATCAGTTAACATTCCTAAAATACCTCAATGTTTTCAAATTAACGGAGGTCTCGTAATTTTCAATCTTCGAGAAAAAAAACTTATTTTCAAATAAAGTATGAATTTTAAATTTCAGGCATCACAGTTTAAATAAAAATAAATAGGAAAAGTAATAATGTAACATATTTAAGTAACAAAGTGTTTGATAAAATATTAGCGATAATATCACTTTTAGTTTTTAAACTTTTTAGTTATTAAAATTTAATTCAACATAATTAAATCTTTATAGTTTATTAAGTTAAAAAATTATAAAAATTAAATTATATTGACTCGACAGGCTATAACCATTGAGTTGTTATAAGTAAACGAAAAAGAAAAAAAACTGATTTGTACTTTTGATTGATTTAAAATTTAAGGATTAAATTGATCATTAAAAAATGTAGAGATTAAAAGTTATAGTTTTACCTTGTACCAAAAAATAGGTTACATTTTTGCAAACTACAAATATCAAAAGGAGTACATATGCAAGGGGCATAATAAAAAAAGAAAACTACTAGAAAACATTGAATAGGATGTTTTTCATGCAAAAGCATGACAAAGTACGTTGTTTTTTATGAGGTACAAGTATACTGCGTGAAGCTGTGAACAATAGAGACTAATCTTCTTTGGAGTATTGAAGACTTCAATAAATTCCTTTCGATTAGGGTGCTATAGATACAAAGTTGATTTTATTTAAATAGGGTTTAGAAGTAAAACATGGTTTTAAAAAATTTACAGAAACAAAACCAAACAATATCTGTTTACCATAAAATCGCGTTTTGCGACTTCAAACAAATTTTTGAAGCTTCAAAGGCTAAACCAAGCAAGCACCTAGCTGCAACAAGTTGCTTCTGATAGCAGCAACAACACTAATAAAAACATTAACCAATATTAAGAAAATTAGAATGAATTAGCCAGTGAATCGTGTAAATTTAATGAACTTGTTAATTTGAATTTTAAAATCAATCAATTGAAATTACTTGATGAATGAACAATGGGATAAAAATTCAACTAAAGTTTAATAACAAATATTCTAAGAAATGCACTCTAGCTTTATAGTTTTGAAACATCAAGCATCCATGTAAGGCTTTGCTTGCATGCGATTGTGTACGCCTAATTTGGCGAAAAATCGGGGCAATAATTGGAGACTAATGCTTAAACCTGTGAAATGACAAATGTAACGACGAACCAGATTGTTGTTAGCCTCCACCTTCCTAGCTCTAACTCCACCATTCCACTCCTTTCCATGTCAAAATCAGCCATAAAGAATCAACAGCTAACATGAATTAGACCTCCTGAGTACAGACTTGAGATGTCTGTCTTCCTCAAATGATACCATGCCTACAAGGGATGGATCATCCAGCAACATCCTGGCCACCAAGTAACCAGCAATGGACCAGGTCTGGCATTTACGCGCCTGCTTCCCTATGTATCTGCCAGACTTTCCGTCATAGTATTCTGGCCAGTTATCATTCAACAATTTGGCTTCAGCAATCTCAAGGGCTCGCTTCGCAATATGGGGTCGTCCAATCTTGATGCTGGCCGCCGTGAGAAGCCATAAAAGAACTGAATGAAAAAGCCACAATAGTCACATTAATAATCTGAAGTACTAAGGAGAAAAGAATTAGGGTACAACTAATTATGAGTTTGATGACATGTTTCCATGCAGAAGGTAGCCAAGGGCAGAACAGCACCTGGCCAAGACCCGCCGTTGTGGTAACTCCATCTAGTATTTTTTGGGTCACATCCAGTTATGATACGCCATTCATGGCTTTCTAAAGCTGGATAACAAACTTTCACTGGCATCTCCCCAATTAATTCCTGCCACCGTGATTCTATGAGGTCCATGATTGCAATGGATTGCTCATGAGTAGCCAGGGACGACAAAATTGCCACGCAATTTCCCAGGCAAAACCAGCGGAAATCCATCCTGGCAGGACTGACATTTCCTATAAAGTAGCCACCGTTATCAGGCATGAAATCAAAAATCCAATCCGGAAGAGAATCAGGGATAACATTAAACTTGTTTACTGCAGTATGTGAGTACTCCTCTGTTTTGTAGCGATATATATCATTAAGTTGCTTCAAATCCAACCAATAGTAGCTTCTTAAATGATAGATTAGGGCATGTAAGCGTGTGACAATTCGTCCCACAAAATCTTTTCCCTCGTCATCTTGCTTAAGCAATTGCAAGGCACATCTTAAAGCCATGAAGAAAAGTGCTTGAATTTCAATGGGATACCCATAAACACCCTGAAACCATGTATCATCAATTAAAAGTAGGACAGAGTAAAAGTAAACATTATACAGGAATGAAAGAGCAAGAAATATCCCCTTTCAAAATAACCGTATAATGTCAGTCTGATGCATAATTATTTTATGGACTCTTGATTCAGCTGATGTCACAGTCGGCACACAAATTATTTCTTCTCCCCATTAAAGGGAGGACAATATCTAAGAATAATCTCATCCTACAATTGCTGGTAAAAAAACAAAATCTCATCCTACAACTGAAGGCCTTGGTTTTCATTTCGACTATCAGGTGTTGTAAATTTGTACGAACTCACCATTCTACGATCAATCATACAGCATCCATCAGCACATAAAAGAGTTGGGAACGTGTCAAACCCCTCTGAAAGACATAAACTAAGAATCAGTCGCATTCCCTTCTGACATTCAGGGAGTTCAGCCAAGGATGTGTCTCCGGTACACTTTGTATACCCACGAAGTAGTATGATCCACCAAAATCCAGAATCGACTGGAGCAACCCTTCCTATTGCACTTTCACCAAAATCTGCTATCAAGGTCTCAAGCTCTCTGACTGGTTCATGTAATACTTTGAAACTAGCAGGCATCACTCCTGCTCCTAGCTGGAATCTATCAACTTTTTTCTCCCACGACTGAAGGCGAAGAGTCTTCAGTATAAAGTTTTTAACAATGTCAGGTTCCCCTTTCATCAGAAAGGCCAACGCACTTGGAACAAAGTCTCTTACAAACACCTACGGACACAAATAGTACCTTAGACAACATCTTCCATCACTGAAAATGGGAAGATTTGGTAAGAGCAATATATAGCAGTCAACTCCCTGACCCAGTAAAAAATAGAAGGAAAACAATGACAAGAGGGAAACATGCAAAAGACTCATCCGTTAAAAAATATGCTAGCTTATTTGGTAAGAGCGTAAATTCCTAGAATTAGAAGTATCGCTTTATGAGAAATCATGGCTTTAATGTAAATGTGTAACCAGAAGCTACAAGTGTTTGAGTGGCTACACACTGGAGGTCCATCTCATAAATAACTTGGAGAAAAAAGAAAATGAAGCCAAACAATCTATTTTAGGTACCGAACAATCGGTGGAAGATGATGTGCCTTACAATCATTATATTCATCCCAAGTGGTGTTAGTATGATACAAAGAGTCTATTAGATTTTGCAAACACATCCCCTCTCCCCAAATGAAAATTCAGATACAATTATGAAATCACAAGGACCTTGCACCTGATTATAATTCAGATTCTCCTTAGAATTATCCAAGGCAGCAATTGTCCCAACCGGTTGACCGCGAAAATATACTAAGGAACGCCTCAGAGCCTCCCAACCTTCAAGTATGATTGTATGTGGATCCGATGCTGGTGTTATTGGGGCATTAGTAACTGATCTTTGCATTGGAGATAGAGCATTATCAAGATTGTCCCCCGAGCCATGAGTGTTCTCAGCATTTCTGTACAAGTGACGTTGAGAAGTTTCTATTCCTAGTTCACTGAATGACCTTTCCTCACATGATCTCTGCCTGTCTATAACATTCATACTCGCCTTTCGCCTCTCAAACAGTTTTGAAACGTCAGGATCCTTGATTTCTGTGTCCTTATCTTGTGAATCTGTTTTTTCAGAACTTCCGTTGTGTGAACCATCCATGGAAAACGGCATGCACTTCCCACAATTTTAATGGTTTAGAAGAGTATTGCACTTGTAGTAGTATGCTCAAAAACCTGCAATTAAGTTTCGCAAGATTTAGTGACCCAAAAAAAAAAAAAAGAAGTTTCGTAAGATTCATGACATATAATTAACATAAATATAAAACTATGCCTAAACTAATTAATTCTATGATTTGAAAACTTTATAAACCCAAGTAAAATCTGCCAAGACTTCCAACTTTTTGGCATATTAGGTTAATCCATTCAGTTTGACGGCTTATGAGTCTCCAATATCGTATAAAGTCATGGATCTTGTAAATAACAGAGACTATATGGTAGTGAATGTTGAGCTTTAATGGGACAGTAAAAATATAAAGTTAGAGTAGCAGAGATAAGAATGTTGAGATGAATATGCAAGCATACATGTAAAAATAAAATTCAAAATGAGTACATATAAAAAAAATAGGTGTAGCACCTATTGAGAGGAAAGTGGTAGAAAATTGTTTAAGATAGTTTGGACGAAGAAGATTGCAGGAGGCACTAATTAGAAGAGTGAAATAGATAATTTTGAACCTTATTAATAAAGTTAGGGAAAAGCTAAAAAGAACACTTATAAAAGTTATTAACTAAGACATCTTAGTTTATAATATTCTCAAAAATTTGGTAAATGATAAAGCACAATAATGCCATACAATTCATGTAGCCAATTTTATCTAGTGAGATAATGCTTGTTATTGTTGCTGTTCAACTATGTAATATTCAAAATGACTCCTGTTTATTAAGCATCACAAACACCCGCCAAGAGGTGATCAATTTGAAAATCCAACATGATTGAAGCAGATCTTGCTCTGATTGTCACATTCAAAAGAATTAAACGACACAGTGGTCCGTACGTCCAGCATTCCAGACCACGGATTGAAGCTAAAGTAATGGTCTACTTATATTTTACACTTTTAGAACAAAATACTTCTTAACTGGAAAACATCCCACGATATTTGAAGTGTATACTTGATGCCGTTTTGACAACAGAAGGAGGAGAACAACCATTGATGAAATCAAGCCAAAATTAAAAAGAAATAGTCTCCGGTCAAAGCATGAAATGAAAGAAAATAAAAGGAGGAAGCAATTGGTGATGGCTAATTGTTTTAACATACGGGCAAAGTCCCTATCAACTAAAGACTAACTGGAATGTTCTTTAAACATCGATCCATTTACTAGAATCTTTGTTTTGCCCATTGGAACGAGCGCATTTAAATTGTTAGATGAAAGAGCACTGTACAACCATGTAATAATGACAAAACAGACATGTGATTATGATTTTTCAAGGACTGCAACGAGACAAAACTTGATAAATCACCGTTTCTTCTTAGCTGAATTCAGTTTCCAGATTCCTGAGCAACTTAACCAAATAAAACAGAACTTCCACTATAGCAACCTATTATAAGGCTTGCACATTATTCCAATCAAGCTCATGCCACGGGTGAACGAACCAAATACGCCGCAAGATTCATGCAATCTTATAAAGTCCAATAATCCGAAAACACAAACACAATGCACATGACAGCTGAATATGCAATCAAAATACAAGAAAGAACAATGAAATTCAAGAACAGAAAAACTAACCCCGAACTCGAAAAGAGCGAGGAGGCGGCACAGAGAAGAAAACGAGATAACTAAAGGTTCTTTTCTCAGGAAGAGCGAAGAGCTTCCACGATAATGCAATAGCAAGAAGGCAAGCACGACCCCCGTGAACGTCCATGTGAATGAAATAACAGAAAAGGGGGCTATGAGCCTGTGAACAACGGGCCAGGGGGTAGCTTTTGGTTCGGATTTGTTCGTGCGGGCAGATATTTTGGTAAAACACGCACACTTGAAGTGTGACGGGGTGTGAGAAGCAGCGAGGAAAGGAAGGAGAATTCTAGAATGCGCGGTTCATTATATTTCGTACAATTTTTTCGCGATAAATGAGAAGGAAAATGCGTCTTTTAAAAAGTACACACGTAATGGCGCAGGCTGCTGCGCAATGGGGCGTGTTTCAGACTTGAGAGGAATAACGTCTTTGCTACTAGACCACGCAAAACGGCCAACACACAGTGCGTTCTTGTTTGGCACACTGCAGTGTAACTGTAAGTCCGCTAGGTTGGCCATGACATGGAGCGATTTACACTTAATATAATTTAAATATTTCAAAATTATTAACTTTTGTTATGACGTATTAAAATTATTATTTTTATTAAAATTATTTTTTCTAGGATATTCTTTAATGTTGTTATTAGTGGTATCCTAAGATAGTGTTTGAAAGTTTTCTCTGATATAGAATGGAATAAAGTGGGATGCTAGAAATTTTATACCGTTGTTTAAAAGGAAAAATATTTAAGAGTAAGCGAAATGATTTGCAATGGCCTTCCCACCCTTCCTTATCTTTCCTAAACACATTTTTTCTTATCCCTAATTTAGAAGGTCAAGGATGAAATGAACTATTATAAATAATATCGCTATAAATTTACCCTTACTCTTCTCATCTTCTCTTACTATTTCACTTCCTCTTGTTTTAAAATTGAAAAATATAATTATATCTTATTCAAAATTTTAATTGTATGATAATTCTTAAATAATGATTAAATAAAATGGTTCATTTTTCTAATAAAACTTTCAACCAATGTAATGCCCCGTTCCTTTCCACCATGTCTCACCTCATTTCATTATATTCCATTAATTATTTTTTTCATTTCATTATAATTTAAAACATTATTGTAATATTTTTTAAAAAATAGAAGTACTAATGATAAATTGTTTTAATGATTTTTTAAAGCAATAAAATTGAAAATATTGAAATGTTTGTGTTATGAATAAATTATAAATACAAATGGTTTGATCGTTGTCTCCTAAAATGTAGCATCATTGTTGCCTAAATGAATAGCATAGTTCATCTCATCAATCACGAGATTCTTGAATCAGTGTACCTTGGCATTGGTTCCCTCTCTGTATCTGGGACTGGAGGCCAATGAGAATTAGGCACATGACCTATCCGATGGTGAAAGATATTCTTTCTCATCAAAAAAAATACTCTCTAAACAATACAAGGCAGTGTTAATTAAAATTTATTTCAATAAAATAATTAATTATTTGTAAATTAATATTATTTCTTATATTTATTCTTATTTAATAAGATATTTTATTTTAAAATAAATATAAAGTAATTTATTTATTACATGTATTTTTTAAAAAATATAAATGTTATTTTTTAAAACACTAAAAATATTTTATATTTTTATATTTTTTAATGGAGGGGTAATGATAGGAAATCTTGAAAATTATTCTGAAGGACTATAATTGGAAATTGCTTATGCTGAAGGACTGCAAATTCTAACATTGTTACAAAGGACCAAGGTCTTTCTTTGAAAAAAGAAAATAAATTATAATGACTGAACTCCCTTCACCGTTACCAATGCGGATTTGACAAATTTGAACATAATATTACGTGTTAATCAGCTTTGTTGTTGCATGCCAAAAACGATTGAAAATTTGATTATGCTTCAAGGGTTCGAACTGCAAGGCAATGGCTAATTATTAATTTTGTTGATAACTTAAACATTATTCTTTGGTTGCATGATATAATTACAATAATTAAGTCTATTTATTTAAGATAGAAAAATTAATCAGATTTTATTTCTTTGTCATATTTCTTCGAGATTTGTTATACCTTTTTATGTCATGAGTTGTATATAAATGATAAATATTTCACGTCATGACATTAAAAAGCTTCTTCTACAGATGCATGTGAGAGAGAGTAATTTTTATTTTTATATAACGTATTTGCAATCTCTCAGTGATGTATTCTTTTATTGAAACCTGTAGGATTCCCTTATCTACGTGTTAAATACTAGCATTTGAACTTATAAATTTACTTGTCCAGAAAAAGAAAAAAAACTTCTGAATTTACGCTCCCTTCAAGCATTTAGCATTCAAAGTACGCAAATTCATAAATTCAAGTGATTGTCTACCGGCATAAGCAATCTTATTTATGTATGACCTCTTATGTTATGGATTAAGTTTAAGAGTTTTACTGGATTTAGATAAACATTTACAAGGGAATGGAGTCATTATCCAATATCAGAAAGTCTTATTATAAAGGAATGGAATGTATTAAAAAATAAAAATAAAAATAAAATGATCAAAATGGATGAGTTAGCACATTTATAAGGGAGATATATAATTTAATTTACAGAGTTAGGAATTATAATTTATGATATTTTTGAAAGGTATAATAATTCTTACATTTATAATATATATTAATAAGTTTTATTATATTTACTATGAAAAAATAATGGTTTAGTGTATTTTTATTTTAATTTTTTTAATCAATTTTATCGCATTCTATTAACCAAATAGGACCTCAATATATGCATACTAAGATGAAAATTTGGACAAATGACATGAATCAAAAAGAGTGAATGTGCATATACACTGTATGTGACTAAAATGTGATGTGGGGTTCTTTTATTGAAAATGTTTTGCAGACTTTAAAAATATTTTCAGAGTCCAAATTTAATGTCCAAGCCCTTAAAATTTTGCAAATGCAATAATGGTGATTAATAATTCAATGTATTAACCTTTAGAAATTTGTAATAAGTAATAATTGACTTACTCAATAATCAAGTTTTTTGAAATATGTAATTTCTATTGTTGAATTTCTTAATATAAAGTCAATGCTCAAATACTTATAAACTCTAAAAGGTTTTAATGGTGTTAAATAGTGCCTAACATTAATAACTTTTAAGGTTAGTGTTCTCATGCATGATTTTAACCAAGTCATTCACCATAATTTCCAAATGAGAGTTCATAACATACAACTCTTGAGCTTCCAAGTATTCATCTTCCATCTCTTGAGTTCTTCTTTTCAGTTTGCATATTTTTATTGTTTTGGCACTCTATTTTCTATAGAATAAGAGTTTGTTTGGTGAGTTGCCGCAATCAACTTGTGTGTCAAAATAATTTTAAAAGACAATGTCTTCACGTATAACTCAAATAATATTATCTACTAAAATTTCTAATAGATTTCTTCCTTGGATATAGTGAATTTGTTGGAAGATATGATTGCATGTGTTGATTAGCTAGGCTAAATCATTTCATTAGAGAACGCTCAACTCAATTGGACTTCACAGCAAAGACTCTATTTGTTGGAAATGTGGCGAAAAGAGATTATGAATTATTAAGGCCGGACATAGTTCACTTGTTCTCTCTAATAAAACAAGTTATTATTAAATAATTTATGTTTTTTTTTGAAAAAACAGTTAGTTAAAATTTTAATCTTCTAAATTTTTTTACATTTTTCTAATCTTATTTTTTTAGTAAAATAAATATAACATGTAACTTATTTTAAATACTTTGATTAGTTACTCAGGTGAAATATAATAAAATAAAGGCATAATTAAAAAAATATAAATAAAACCTATCCAGGGTTTTACATTTTGGATGAAACGGAATTTCTAAAAAAACATTATATATTCTTTGGAAGAAGTCATTCAGATGCATTTTTGCAAAAGCTTAACTTCCATATGATTCAGGATTAGTAACTCTACATTAGATAACCTTCGACCTATCACATATTTTATAGTCCAAACAGCAGTGTGCCAATTGAGATTCAAGAAAGAAATCTCTTTTGACTTTCGCATTTCAATGGCATAGGGCCGGCCAGTAAAACCTTTTTATTTTTTAAAACATTTTAAAATAATAATAATAATAAATAAATACAAGTATCAATATAAAATCTTAATCAAATTTTAAAATGAAAATAAAAATTTTCAGTCAATCAACTTTATCAAATATAATCTAATCTAATAAATACAAAAACTCATATATATATATATATATATATATCATAAAGTACAACATTAATCAAAATAAAAAAATAGACCTAACTTATAAAGTAATCATATTTAAGAAATTTTTAAAAAATCTATCAATACTGTGTTATAATAAATGGCAAAAAAATTAACATTAATTATTTTGACAATAAATTACTTAAAAAATCATCAATCTTTTAGGAAAAAGGCTTGAAGGGCTGCTTAAATTCAACCCCATTTTTTTCATGACCTATTAGGATCGAGCCTAGAAGCTTATTTTTTAACAAAAATTTAAATTTTTTAAGTTCAAATTTTTATTTAAATAAAATTTTTAAGCTCCGTTTTTTAAACTCAATCTTTATTTTTGAGTCTACTTCCTAGGTGCCTTGCATTGCGCTGGAATACTTTTAAGAATAAATTGTTGTTATTGGTTAGATTTATTGCCACCTTTCTAGTCCTCTTTCGCCTGTTCATTCATTTCGAGCTATGCTCTTGCTCTTTGTCCGTTTCAGTGAACCCTATCTTACTTTCTTTAAAATTAAGTAAAATGCACACTTGTTATTGACACTTTTCACCATGTAACATGACGTAGCAGTAACTCATTATAAATTATGGAAGATAAGAATAAAATTATAACAACAGGCCTTATCACATTAGGTATAATTGATTATATAGATTATATGATGTTATTGTGTCCTATTATTTATCAAGTTTTTAGGAATGTTGTTTACTAAAAGTTCTTGGTCAACAATTTCTAAAAATATTCTGTTTAACCTTTCCTTACTCTCCTTAATAAGGCTCAAAATTATTGATCCCACTTTTCTTAATGGTGCCTCCATAATCTTTTTTGTACATATTTAAAACATCTTAAGTAATTTTTTATTATTTTTTTCAACAGGCGCTACATTTACTTTTTTTATATATGCCCATTTTGAATTTTATCTTCATGCATATGCTTGCATATTTATCTCAATATTTTTATCTTTACTATTCCAACTTTGCACTCTTGATGTTCTGTTAAAATTCAACATTTACTATCATATAACATAGTTGGTTTTATAACAATCTGATAAAACTTTTTTTAAGTTTATTAGGTACCCTATGATCACAAATAACTCCTTTAACTTTTCTTCAATTAAACATCCATCTTGTCTTTTATATGCAATAACCCCATCATGTTAAATAATAACTCCTATTATATAAATTTTTTCACTTAAGGTATAATGTTTTATCCCGATTTCACTTTCATATTATTACTGATTTCTTATCAAAATTATAATATAAATATTTCATCTTACTCTTACTCAGGCTGAAACCTTTTGACTCTAATGTCATCCTTTATAATTTAAGTTTATAATTAATCTCTTCTCTTATCTTTGCAATAAAAACTATATCATCCCTGGAAAGCATGCATTTGAAAATTTCCTCTTGAATATACTCAATCAAGACATCTAGAACCATATCAAAAATATAAGGACTAAAAAATAATCCTTGATGTAGTTCAATACTTATAGGAAAGTTCTTTATTTCACATCCTAACATTCTTGTTGCTTTCTCATACATATCTTGTATAATTCTAATATAGACAATTTGGACTCCTTTATTTTTCAAAATTTTTCAAAGTACTTCTTTTGGTGTATGGTCAAAAACTTTTTTCAAATTAATTAAAACCACATGTAAATCTTTACATTTATATCAATACTTTTTTATTAATCCCCTTAATAGATAAATCACTTATGTAGTCGCCTTACTTGGCATGAAACCAAATTAATTCTCAAAAATTTCAGTCTCCAATTTCAACCTATATTCAATTATTTTTTTCCACAATTTTATATATGACTCATAAATTTAATCTCTCTGTAGTTAGCACAATTCTAAATATCTCCTTTGTGTAAATTTGAACCAAGATGCTTCTTTTCCAATTGTCAAGTATTTCTTTAACCGTAAGATCTCATTAAATAACTTAGTTAGCTATCACATTCCCTTTTCACCTTAACATTTTCACACTCCAATAAGGATACAATCAGGTCCATTGGCTCTTTATTAAGAGCTTTTATAACATCCTTAAATTTTTAACTGATTAATTAGGTTTAGTTAGTGAGGTGTGTGGCCACAGAGGTCTAATGGGTATGTTTGATTGTAACTTAAATTTAGATGTGGCTCTGAAGTGAAGTCGGGTTACTTGAACATGAAAGAAGAAGAAAATTAGAAAAGGGGACGTTCTAATTTTGGATAGGCTGCCACGAGAATTCTAACTTGTGGATGGGCCTCTGCGACGTATATTTGCTGATATTCTTGGGAAAGACTTCTCTATGCCAAGAGCCATGGTGCATGATGAGTCTGCCACAGCGCATGGTCACTTTTCTGCAGAAATAAGATCGTGAAATGGTGTAGAAAAGGGAGAAAAAACAAAGGTACACAAAGAAGCAACTGAAGAGCTGTGTTAGGGCTTCAAAGACTCAAAGATTTGAGGTGTTTTAGGGATCATAAACATTAAAAGTAACCTTTTCAAGCCTAAATCTTTCTACCTTCTTCCATTTTTTTTATGTTGGAAGTTAGGGTTCAATTAAGAATGATGATTTTTGATCCATAAAGGCTTTGGGTCCAAACCCATTAATTTAAATAAAATTAATGGGAGTTGATTAAACTAATGGAATCTACCATTCTTAGCCATATGTGTTTTCAGTTGTTAGAGTTCATTAATGAGGGAAAATCCACTATTTTTGAGATGGTTGGGACAATGTGACTTCATTTATTGCTATATAAGAATTTCGTGAGATTAATGTGAGTTAGAGGAATCTAAAAAATCCTATGAGTATTTTTATATAAGTGGAAAATGAATCTTAGGAGTGAAGAAGTGTTTGAGTTAATAATGAAAATTAGCCTAAAAATGGATATTGATAAAGTATATTATGATTTACTGTAGAGAAATTATTGGCATCATTTAAGCTTTATAGAAGCTTGGAAAGTGAGTATTTAAGGACTAAAACTTTTGACCTCTCAAAAGTTTGAGATAATCAGGAGAATTCTACCTTATGCTTTAATCTGTTAATTAATTTTATCGATTGATGTTTGATAATTTAAAAGTGTGAAGTTTAATAAATTGCAATTATGGCATGAAATACTTGAGAAATCTACTATCATGATTTTGCAAATCTTAATGACATGTTGTATGCAAATTCTATGAAATATGGCAAGTGAAGTCCTATGATGTGTTTTCTTGGAGTTCAATGATATGAATTGATAGTGAGTTCAATGATTATGTGTTAAGTAAAGTTAATGACTTGATTGTGAATAATTCAATGAGATAGAAATTTCAAAGTTCAATAAAATAGAAATTTTAAAGTTTAATGAAATAGGAATTGTGAAGTTCAATGAATTGATAATTGTGGAGTTCAGTGAAAAGTATAATTGAGGAGTTCAACAAATATGAAGAGTTTAATGATTGAATTATGTATATTAACGTGATCTCATATAAGAGATGGGTACAATGATGATGTTGTGCATGCTTAAATAGTGAACACTTGTATGCTAGGAGCTATTGCATGTTTTTACACTATATGATCATGAGAAGTGAGAATTCGCCTAGAAAGAAAAGTAGAGGTTTAAATTCACGTGATAAGGCTCCCATTAGAGCTCGATGGTTAGCCTGAATTCATTTTGCACTTTGTCCCATTTGTTCAATGAGTGACTGTCCTACTAGTTTAACAAGAGACTCAAACCTAACTATCTATCCACTTGTTCAATAAGGAAGCTAGTTTAGAGAGAATAACACCCTTATAGTGAGAGAAATGGGAGAAGCTGTGACCCATAAGTGAGATGGGAAGTCTTAGCTGTGTAACGTCTCACAAGTGTTTTGGCTAGAGTAGTCTTACTGTATAGACGAACCTAATGTGTATATATCCCACAGTTTTGTGTCAGAGGAATAAGGAAAATATAAGAGAGGTGTGATCATGCATATAGTAAAAAAGGACACATGGTTGTTTGTATTGTGATCTTAGTGAAATGGAACATGTGAAAGTCTTCTTCTATATACATGAAATGGCATTATCTTGATCATTATCTCATATGTATGCCTTATGGTGAATAAAATGTTGAGTTATGCTCTTGAATATGTCCATGAATTGAAATTGCTTAATAGCATGTCACTTGCATTTAAATTAATTGACGTGTATTAGTATAAGTTAGCTGGATCTTGGTTACTGAGTAGTTGTATTCATCCTACTATCTTCAACATTACAAGAAATAGCTCAAGAGAATTGGAAAGAGGAAAACAACTTGAGGCATAGGATTGACATCCTAGTAGTAAGCCTCTTTTATCTTTTAAGTATATATATGTGTATATGATGAATGTTATTGCCAATTAGGACTAATCCATTTGAAACTTACTTGCATTATATGTTTTATGAATCATAAAGTGTATTTTAGGGCCTTAAAGTACATGTATGGGAATTGTGATATCTATAGCAAGGCCAAAATACTAGTGCAAATAAGAGTTAATTATAACATATGGTTTTTGTGGATTATTTGATGAAATGTGAATTTGAGCTCCCCTTTTGTTTTTGAAATTAAGGAGTTGAGTAATAAAAATGTGATTAATAAGTATTATAAATGTTGTGGTATGTTGCACAAGTTCATTTTAGTCTCTTGCATGTGGTTTGGGTAGTATTTATGGCTTTTGGTTTTGGTATGGGATTTGGATACTTAGTTTTGTGTAAATTGTTGAAAAAGTGAGCATTTTGAAATGATTGTCTAATTCTTGAATGGGTAATAATTTGAGTGTGAAATCAAAGTCCTTAACTAGAGCTTAGAAAAGGCTTTCTATAGACACCTAGATTGTGTCAATCGAACATCCAACGGAGATTTAGGGTGCATCAAAAGTTTCCTTAAGTGTTATTAAGTTAATAGCAGAATTTTGCTATCATGAGATGTGCAATGTGTCGTGGCACATTGTTTAACGAGCCATAGTGCAAGTACTATGAGCTGTGGTGCACACCTCTGATTCTGTAAAATTTTCATGTTTTTTGATTCTATGCTAATGCACTAATCCTTCTTTTAATGATCCCAAGCTTTCATACAATAATTAAACTCTGATTTATCATTTGTAAGACCTTTTGAGATGCTTTGAATCTTCAAAACTTGGGATTCCATTTTTATAATTCAAGTTGCAAATTTGAAAAACTTGTTCATTACTTTGAATTAATCTCGATTTAAGTGAGAATTTGAGTTTAGTATATATAAATGAGTAAGGAGATTACAGCTTCCTTTACGTCACTATTGCATATCATTTGATAGAATGATAAATTTTATTTTCCTTCATGAGTTACTAAATGTTTCAAGTTACTAAACGAACCCTCTCCATCATTAAAAAGTTTGAAAAAGTATGTTTTCCATCTATTTTTAATATCACCATCTGTAATCAAAATACTTTCTTCATCCTTTATGCACCTTATTTGTTCTAAATTTCTTGATTTTCTTTCCTTACTTTTAGTAATTTTATAAATTTTTTATTCTTCATTCTTTGTCTCAAAACTATTGTAAAACTTTTTAAATATTTTAAAATGAGCTTTACTCACAACTTTTTTAATTTTATTCTCAACCATATGATAATTTTTTTAATTTTTATTAATGCTTCCTAAATGAATGGCTTTAAAATATGTTTTTTATATCTGACTTTTTCCTGGTAAATTATCATTCCATGGACTCTTATCTCTCAAGCTAAGAATTTTTTATTCTCCCAAAATTTTTACGGCAACCTTCCTTACCTTTTTAGTTGTATTCTCTCAGAAGATTGTAACAATTCCTTAAGCTCTCAAATTCTTTTAGCCAAAAAGATTTTACTTAAAAATTTTCTCACTTCTCACCTTTTAACTGGAATGCACCACGTTTATGTTGAGCTTTATGTTGGTCAAAAGTTTAAGAATTAGCGACAAGCTCGCAGGGAAAAAAAAAAAAAAAAATTCACAGTTGTGATGCCTGTTGCCCGTTGTTGAATACAGTGACAGCAAGAGGGAGTCCACCACCAAAAAGAGAAGACAGAGAAAGAAACAAGTCAGAAAGAGCTAAAACCCTGCTTCGCTGCTTCTAAACCCTCCCATCCAAATTCGTGGTTTGAGATATTATCACTTGGCTTTCTTCCGTCCTTTTTAATAGTTCATTATCTCCTGCTTGTTAATTAATATTCATGGCTGATGCGGAACTGGAAGTCAAAATGAAAGCCCGAAATAAAACAAAGAAGCGAAAGCAAAGAAGCCACGGGGAAACCGAACGGCTTTCCAAAGCGCAGAGAATCGAATTGAGAACAGCGGAACATGACACAAAATCAGAGAAGAGAGACTCCCTGTCCGACGAGTTTGAATTCTTCCCTCCATGGAAGAACCTTCAGTTGATTTTATGCATCCAAAACAAGCAACTTGATCTCCAGAGGTTCTTTTGCCCCCTTTTCCCCCTTCCTGTCATCACGTTCAATTAACTGATAGACTAGTTATAACTATCCAGTACTTCTTTTGCATTACATAAGTTAGTTTCTTCCAACTCTTCGAACATGCCATGGTAAAACTTTGTTACTGATAACCCCATAAACCCAGAAAGAAGACGTGCTATAACGCTATTCAAGTCATTGAGCACATGCTCCAAAAATGAACCAAAAGCCAGCAGAAATAGCATTTTCTTCCTGGTAAGATGTGTAAGGGAGTGATCAAAAGTCCCAAGGGGGCAAAGGCCTTATACAGTTGTACATATCTTGTTTTGTCAAATAAATTAATTTTTAAGTATATTTTATCTATTTTTTTCCCTTGCCTCTGGTGAGCCATCCAAAGGAACGATGAGATTTTCTATTGTCACTTTCCCACTACAAGTTTGTGTTAATGCAGGAAGATCGAATTAGCTTTCAGTTTTGTGCAATCAAGAATCGACGAGAGTGATCCCGCTGATCAGGATTGTGAAACAATAAAACTGCCCAGACTGTTATATCTCCTTAATGATTGGATCCAGTCGCTGTTGATTTCTTTACTTACAAAAAATCCGAGTGATGGAAAAAGATCCCAGGTTGGGGGAGCTGAGGCATATATGGATCTTCGTTGCTGGGAGATATTCAAGTTCTGCTTGCAGGAGTCTTTGAAGTTTGACGTTTCTCTGAATATGTCTCAAAATCTCCTACGGCCCGTTCATTTTATTGCCAAAAATGCTCTATCACTGCTGGAGGAATCCTCCATCTGTTCAGGAGAATCTTTTATACCTGGTGAAAGGTACAGATTGTATGGTGCTGTCCTTGATTGTGTTTCATTGGTATTCTCCTCCCATGGTGGGTTGTCAAATGAAAATTTGGAGTTGTGGGTTACGACAGCTTGTGTGCTTCTTGAGCTTGTCCAAAAAATGTATACTAAGCATCTTGATAGGACCAATATGGGTGAATTTTCTCTACACTTTCTGTGTTTGGTGCTTCAGCCATTCTCCAAGTTTTTGAGGGTTCATCCAGCTAGGAAAAATGGATTTCATACTTTTGTGGATAAACTTCTTGAGCCACTGTTGCAATTGTTAGGTAAGTTGAACCTTCAGGTAAATGAAAGCAATATCCCTTGGACAGAGAGGTTGTTGAAGGTGGTCGAAGAAGTTCTTTCGTATGGGCTGTTTCATCCAGTACATATTGATGGATTCTTTAGCTTGCATGGTTTAGAGATGAATGTTGCTTCATGTGATGATAAATCAGAAGATTCAAAAGCAGTTATTAGGAGTTATCATAGACATTTATTTGATGTATTGAACAAAGTTATAGCAAGAAAAAATGCAATGGCAATGGGTAGCATAGGTTTTTTATTTCATTTGTATGTCAATGCTGCCAGAAAGTTCAAGGGAACCTCAGTGCTGCATGAAGCAACAAAGAGAATGGAGAGTACAAGAGATACAAGACAACTAGAATCAGGGGAGAATAGCTCAAATAACGTGTCTCCTGACACTCAAAAATCACTTCTTAATTTTTTGTTTCACATTATGGAGCCTCTGTTACTTGAGGTTGATAAATATAGTCAAGCTAAAATTGACACCAAACTTATGTTGTCAGTGCTTCATGGTATACTAAAATCTATTAGTAACTTGCTTGCTAGTCTTATGCAAGAGAAGGTGTATGTGAGGACAGAGGACATGACTGGAGGAGCTTGTCTTAATTTTTTGAAGAAAATATATAATGTACTAATGTCATGTTCTACCACTTTGCTATGCTTTCCCAATTATGATGTAAGTAACATGATAGAAATGGAAACACTTACTTTATCAGTTAATGAGATGCTAGTTGCTATAGGGTATCTTTTGGAAATTGAATATGAGGTTATTGGAGAAGATCTGGTGAACTTATGGTTTACAGTGTTAGCATGCTTAGGAATCAGTGGGACTTTTACAGATGCCCTTGATCAATGTTCATTATCTTCCAGCATATCAGGCTTGGGGAGTCAAATAATCAATATCTACAGTCAACTTCGCCGGGTTAGTTTCTTAACTCTGAGCTCTGCATTACAAGATGGCATTTTTCCTCAGTAAAGTCCACTCCGTTTCTTATATTTTGGATTGGTTATGTCCCCTTATGGTTGTTAGTGAATCTCCTGCCATGTTGTACTCATGACCTATTAGATGATGGCAGAATGCTCTCACCAACAAGCCACAAGCTCAATAAAAATTGGGCGTTCTAGGGTGTTGGTATGGAGGAAGGGGGGTTTGGGTGAAGCCATTCCTGAATTGTTATAATTATGGTTTATTTTGCCATTGTGTGTTTTTATTCTCTTTCCGGCTTATTGTGTTAAATTGCAATCCTAGAGTGTTGGTATATGGGATGGAAGGTTTGGATGAAGCCATTCTTTAATTGTTATAATTATTGTTTATTCTGCTTGTTACATGTTTTCATCTGCTACCTTTTATTTCATTAGATGTATTTCAGGCATGTTCTTACACATTTTTAACTGATGTAGGTGGACTTTGCTATTTTAGCATTGTGCAAAGCTATTAGACTGACCATACGTCATGGGGATGATACTGAAGAAACTTCAAGGTTTTTGACTCCTGTGTCTAATGAAGTTCATTCACAATCAGTGGATAGGCTACTATCTTCACAGGACTTAATCAATGCCATTCATAAAGCTGTTCAATCCATTCCAGAAGGTCATGTGAGCAGTTGTATCCGACATTTAACAGATGATATATCTCAATCGCTCATGTGGTTGAAAGATTGTTCTTCATTTGTCATTGGCAAAAAATTTAATAATCGAAGTGTAAAACATGCAAGGCAAGTTTTTAACCTGCGAGCGGTGCTTTTTGGTAGGGGTTTGTCTAGGCTGTATTCGTTAGTGCTAGAATCACTCACTGTCACTGAAGGAAACAGTAATCTGATTGGAGGTTCTATAAAAGAACTAATAGAACTAATGCGTCCTTACTTGAGTACTCTAGTAGGACAGCAACCAAATATCTGCAACTTCCTTTCAAATGTCATGGGAAACACTGTTGATCAGGTGGCTGGAAAGAGAAAATTTCTGAAGAACTTTTCTAGGTCCAGTAAATGGGTCATTCTGTTCTTTTTTCAGTTGCTTGTATCCTGCCGAAGCTTACATAGGCAAGCAATCAGCCTTATGCCTCCTGTTTTATCTAACAAGATGTCTGCTGAATTGGGGGACTTCATAGCATACACTGCACAAGAGTTGACGGAGAGGATTGATGGGAGAGACATGGAATATTTTTCTTGGATTGTTCAACCTTGTGCTTCACTTCTTGCTGTTATACAATTTATCTCTGCTATCTATCTCAAGGATTGCTTAACTGACAGTTATCCTTTGGTGTATACATTGCACTCTATGACTCTTCAGAGGCTTGTTGACTTGAACAGGCAGATTGTTTTGTTCAAGTATTTGCAAAATATTCATTATAATTCACGAATCAAGTCAATAGAAGAAGAGGCAGCTGGACTTACCAATTTTATGATGGAGAACTTATCATGTGTGTATCAATCACCATTCTTCCGTACTGATGAAGTAAATTGTGAACATATAACTGCTCAAGATCCTCATGAAAACAATGGATGGAATCTAGGAACTTGTGTTGCATATGATAAGTTATTGCCAATAGCCATTTGGTCAAATCTATGCAAAAATATTGATATTTGGGGCAATCATGCTTCCAAGAAGCAGTTAAAGAAGTTCTTCACACATCTGCTCTGTGCTTCCCTTCACTGTGTTTCAAGCAGTTTCCAGGAGCTTGGTATGCCCGAGATTGAAAAGTATAAAAGGGTCAGAGGAGTTGCTTTACCACAGATATCGTCAGAACTTTTAAGCAGTTCAATTTTGTATGAACAAAAGGTAAGATTTTTTTGGCTGTACATGAAGCTCGCTCTCTCTCTCCCCCCCTCCCTCTCCCTCTCCCCCTCCCTCCCTCCCTCTCTCTCTCTCTCACGTGCACCCACATGCATGTGCACTTTCCTATGCTAACTACTAAGAAACTATATATAGATATTCACCAATCTTTCAGTCAATTTTGGTCTGCTGTCTATCAATTCTTCTATTTGTCTCTCGTTGAATTCCCTAATGGCATTCTAAATCCTTATGATACAGTTCTAGTTTTTCATTCCATACTATTGTTTTAGTTTACCTGCAGGAATCTGGCAAAAAGGATTTGCTGTGCTTTAGAGAAATCTGTGATACCACTGTTTAGTAATATTGCATATTCAGATGTCAGTCTTCAGAGGTCACCTGACTGGCGCAAGTTTATAAAAGATCTTGACAACTTAGTAATTGTTGTTGATGGAAAAGAGGACTCTCCAGTTAATTGTTCTCCAGTTGATATGTCAATAGCTCAATCATGTGACAAGCTGCCTGCAGATTTTGGCAGAGAAGAAGAGGCCTCTCCTCTCACCAGCAAAAGTTTTGCTATTTGCCACTGCTTACTGAGCTTTCTATGTCGTATTCCAGATATAAATGAAAGATCATTTTCACTTTATGTTAACTGCATATTCAACCTTGAAAGGTACACACATCTCTGCTGGATGTTTCCATATGGTCTAGTCCATTTTTTTAGTTGTTCCTGTTCAGATAACTTTCCTTTCTAGAGTCTAGAACAGCTTTTGCTTGAGTAATTTTATATTGTTAATAGAAAGACTGAACCATTTCACCTATTTGATAGGAAACTCTTGTTTGTTTTATCTTGCATCGCTGAAATTTTCAAATATGTTTATTGTGAAACTGACAACCCTTACAGAAGGAAACAAAATCCAGATATCTGTGATAAAAATATCTAAGATGCATTTATTTGTCATTTGCTTGATGGGTTCTCTGGAAATAATCGTTGGAGCATTTAAATTGAATGATCCTCACTTTCTGACTTATATCTTGCAGGCTTCTTGTCATTTCGTTGTTACACTTTCAGGATACAGTGAACCAGGATCATTATTATGAGTTATTGAGATTATTTGTCTCCTGCCGAAAGGCATTAAGGTATATAATAATGGGATTTTGCAAGAAGGCGGAAGTTGATCAATCCTTACCAAATTTGATCATCTCTGGAAGTACATATCCTGTTTTATGGCTTTTCAAGTCAGTTTCTGTGATTCTGGGGCATATAGAGAAATTCTCTGCTAAAAATACTACTCTTCTTAAATTCATGGTTTTCTCTTTAATGGATCATACATCATATGTCTTGTTGGGGATAGTGAAATATCAAATTATTCATGCACTTCCTATTGATAAAGAAGCTGAGAAGCCTAGTGAAGAGATGTCAAGTTACAGAATTGTTCATGAAAAAGATCATTTACCCCAATCCTCCCAGCCTGTTGCTTGCAATGGCTTTGACATGTTAGCACCCCCATCCTCATCGGCCGCTGCCTGTGTTGATTTCCTCAAGTTTAATGCTTTGAAAAGTTTAACTTTCATGACTGACAATTTGAAGGAGCAGATGCAGAGCATACTTGTTTCTCTAAAAGATGCCCATGAGGCTGGCAGTGTGGGATTTGGTATTTCTTATGAAAATATGAATAAATTGTCTTTTACAGTCTCTTGCTTAAGTGGAATTTTATGGAGCTTTGCTTCTGTGATGGACCATACATATGTGAAAGGAAGTCATCATAAAGAAGTGTGGACATGTAACAATGAACATACTTCTATTGTAAATTCTTGTATATATGCTCTTGTGGAAGTAGTTGATTTTTTTGTCCATAAATTACTTGCTGATAAGAATCACCCCTCTGAAAGCTTGTGTTCATTGAGTGCAAAATGTTTTACCCTTGAGTGCTCGTGTACTAAGGCTGGTGCCTCAAGCGGTATTCAACAGGAATATAAAGATACAATTACTTCCTCAGGTTCATCAGCCATTGATAATGACTCTAAAGGTGCCAGTAGTCCAGATATATTGTTGGAACCAGGATGTGAAAACTCTGTTGCAAGTATTTTGGTTAGGGCTGATTCCTTGAAGCCTGAGTGTCTGAATAAGCCTTTGTTGCAAAGCTTGCTAAAAGATGATCACCCTGAAGTAGCTTTCTTACTGAGGCAACTTTTAATTTCTTCCGCAGTTCCTTTGAAGCTTGTTTTGCAGAAAGATAGCCCTTCCTTGCTGTCAAGTGTTGTGCCTACTTTTATTGAAATTTCACGAGTCTTGTTATTAGAATTTGTAGAGATGACTGAAGTCCCTCAACAACCTGCTTTTCTTTTGTTAGATGGTGTTCTAAGTTATCTGAGAGAATTATCAAGTTATTTTCCGTTCTCTGATCCTACCTCATCCAGGAAATTATATACTAACTTGATAGAGTTATACTTGAGGGCAATAGGCAAGACTATATCTTTGCAAGGAAAACGAGCTACTCTAACCTCCCATGGGAGACAGTCAAGTGCAAAGAAACTTCATGAAAGGTCCTTTGAGGCAAGTTCTTCAAGTGAATTGTACTGCCTTTGCTTGGATGAATTCAAAGCTAGGTTGCGGATGTCATTTAAAGCCTATATAGAGAAGCCATCAGAGTTGCATCTTCTATCTGCTGTTCAGGCCGTTGAAAGAGCTCTAGTTGGAGTGAGAGAAGGATACACTATGAACTATGACATAAAGACTAGCACAGATGGGGGCAAAATTTCCCCAGTTGTTGCAGCTGGCATTGATGGCTTTGACATGATTCTTGAATTTGTCTCAGGTAATATGTCAGAATTTATGAGCGCAGCTTATGTGTTAATTTTAAAAATAAACGTTTCATTTTGTTTCATTTGTCGTGCCTTTCACTTATTTTATTTTAAAAATGTAGCACTTTATGTCAGAATTTTTAATTCGTTGAAACTGTTTTTACTTTATGTTGAAAAAGAAATACTTGCTCACTTGGTTTCTGAAAATCCAAGGAACATCATTTGTATAAAATTTTGGTATGGGTGATGTATTGATGGAGAAGTGGAAATAGGATATTTATGACGACAGATCATGGCTGAGGCTCCATTTCCAAACACAAGGCCGAATATAGGGAGGAGGTCAAAGAGTGTATTTTCATGTGATGACCATTGCTTATCTTTGATTTAAGCAAGTCTGAAGGAAATCTGCACTTGAGATTGCTTTGTGATTATGTATTATGTTATAACAAGTAATCAGTCAAACAGATTAGATATCTCACGATTCATATTTAGGAGAAATTACTGTCTTTCAATATTATAGCCATTCATTTGTTCCATCTGTTGAAATTTTTTTATAAAAAATATGAAAAAAAATCTGGAAAAATAAATGAGAAACAAAGGTTCGTAGAACAGTTTTTGTTCCAAAAAAAAAAAGGTTCGTAGAATAGGAAATTGAGAGAAAATGAAATGTTGACATTTGTACAGTAAATGCAGAGAAAAATCTGGGGCATAAATAATGGGATTTTAACACTTACTGTATGCTCACTGGTGTGTATGGAGAAGCATATGCTTCATCGGTGATCAAGATGCTCAAATAATTGGATGATTTTTCCTTGTAACTTTCTCTGTAGTGCCCACATTATGGTGGCCATATTCACTGTGATGACTTATCATAAAGAAAAACTAAACAAACGAATTCTTCAATTACTGATATTGCACAGAACGAGACTTGAAAGATTGTTACTGTCCTATTGATAAACTGTGTTTTGGTTCTATGCAAAATGCTTGAAAATACTTGCCTATCTAGATTATGCTGACATTTTTTCCTTCTTAGGTCGTAAAGGCTTGAAGTTGGTTAAAAGACACTTTCAGTGCCTGGCAGCTGCTGTTTTCAACATTATTCTGCATTTACAGAGTCCACTAATTTTTTATGGGGATTCAACGTCAAAAGTTGTCAATAGTCCAGATCCAGGATCAGCAATTCTTATGTGTGTTGAAGTACTAATTACAATTTCAAGGAAACATGCTCTATTCCGTATGGATTCATGGCATATAGGCCATTTGTTACGAATCCCTGCGGCACTCTTTCAGAATTTTCATCAGCTTAGAGTTTCTAAGGATTATGGCTCATCTGATCCTTTGATGATTTCAGAAGAGCAAATCTCTCATCAAGTAGAAGCAGTGAATTTACGTTACGTAGATAGCCAGTTCTCATTAAACCTATTTGTTGCATGTTGTCAACTGTTGTGCACCACTATTAAGCATCACCAAAGGTATGCTTCTTTTGTTTATATTTTAAGTCTGAATAGTGGCTTATGTGATCTAATTATGCAAAAATAGAAAGGCCACATATGTGATGTTAATGAGGCAAAAGTTTTATACTCATCCTAGTCATAAAATCCTGGCCTAGCTTTTTATATTAAATTAAGAAAACAACAAACAACAATAAGCTTTATCCCACTAAGCGGGGTCGGCTACATAGATTATATGACACTATTGTGTTTTATCATCTATCAAACTTTTAGGCATATTGTTAACTAAAAGGTCTCATTTAACAACTTTCATAAATATTCTCTTTGGTCTTCTTCTGCCTTTTTTTATTTAGCTTAAAGCTATCTGTTCCACTCTTCTCACCGGTGCTTCTCACGACCTTCTCTAAACGTAGCCAAATCATCTCAAATGATTTTTTAATATTTTTCCTACAATAGCTATTACACCCACTTTTTCCCTGTATATGCTTATTTCTTATTTTATATTTTCTTGTATGCCTGTATATCCATCTCTACTTTTCCAACTTTGTGCTCATGTTGTCCCTTTAAAGCCCAACATTCACTGTCATAAAATATGGCTGGTCATATAGCAGTTCGATAAAAATTCCCTTTAAGTTTATTAGTTATCTTTCTATCACAAATAATCCCTTTAGTCTTTCTCCAATTATACCACCCAGTTCGTATCTTATGTGCAACATCTCCATCAATTTCTCTATCATATTAAATAATTGCTCCTAAATATCTAAACTTTTCCACTTAAGGTATGACCTGATCTCTCAATCTTACTTTCAAGTTATTACTAATTGATCTCTTATCAAAATTATAATACAAATATTCCATCTTACTCCTACTCAGACGGAGACTCTTTGACTCCAAGGTTCTTCTTCATAACTCTAGTTTATAGTTAATTTCCTTTCTTAACTTTGCAATGAGAACTATATCATTTGCAAAAGCATCCGATTGGGGATTTCCTCTTGAAAATGCTCAATCATAACATCAAGAACTAAATCAAACAAATAAGGGCTCAATAATGATGCCTAATGTGGTCTAATTCTTATAGGAAAGTGTGGTTAGAAATAGTAATTATTTAATGTAAATATATGTTATTATTGGGAGAGATATTGGGTAGTTATAACAGAGTGATTTACGCGATTCACTTCCCGATATACTCCTCTGATTCTGTCTCCATCATTCTCGGAGATATGATCAGTCTTGCTTATGTATATATTGCTGTACATACCTTCGGATGAATATACCAGAGTAATTCGGCTCAATAACTTCATGGTATCAGAGCCGCGACACTTTCCAGTGGAATCCGGCACCGAGAGCTTCGAAGCAGATAGTACCGAGAGTGAGGCGAACCCAACTGACACTGTTCTGATGTCGACTGATGATGGGTCCTCTAAGATCGATCCGAGCAAGGTGGGTGGTCTCATAGGATCAACTACCAACCATGAAGGGTCCTCGGTGCATCTCGTCTCTGTGAAGCTTAACGGTGCGAACTACCGTATGTGGGCGCAGGCCATGAAGCTCGCGATTGGAGGTCGGGGAAAGATGGGCTATCTGGACGGCTCATCGAAAACTCCAATAGAATCCAAGACGCAAGAGTTTCAGCAGTGGCACACGGAAAACGCGCTGGTATCATCGTGGCTGATAAATGCCATGGCTTCAGAAATCCAGCAAAGCTTTATGTTTCTTCCCTCAGCCCATGAAATTTGGAAGGCTGTGCGAGACTCCTACTCTGATGGGAAGGATTTGGCTCGCATATATGAGCTTAAAATGAAGGCATGGACACTGCAACAGGGGGAGCGTGATGTCACGACCTTCTGGTTAGAACTTAATGCTATTTGGCAAGAACTGGACCTGATGACAGACTTAGAGTGGTCAAGTAGCCAAGATGCAACACGGTATAGGGAGCAGATGGAAAATGAACGAGTATTTCAGTTTCTTGCCGGTCTAAACCAATCTTTGGATGATGTACAAGGACGAGTTTTGAGTCGTACACCGCTTCCATCAACCAGAGAAGTATTCTCTGAGGTGCGTCGTGAAGCTTCAAGACGCAAAGTTATGCTTCCGGGGCCCACTTCCGCGCAACCAGCATTGGACTCGGCTGCACTTGTGAGCAAGAGCAATGACACGAGTCAGAAGACCCAAAAAGGAAAGGTGACCTGTGACCATTGTAAGAAGACTGGACATACTCGTGAGACATGTTGGGATATACATGGCAAACCAGTTGATTGGAAGCCGAGGAAAGGAAAGACACGAGGATATCAGACTTCTCATGATGTACCACCAGATAAATCAGAATCAACCCCACCGGTGCCTGAGATTGATAAGGAACAACTCGGTAAGTTGCTCGAGATGCTCAGTATGCTCCAGCAGAATGAAAAAAGGCAGAAACAAAATCATACTGCATCTGTGGCCTATAAAGGTAATCATGCCTTACTTACTTCTACTAATAACTTCAAATGGATTGTTGATACTGGGGCAACGGACCATATGACATCAGACTCTACACTATTCAGCACCTATGCTCCTAATGCTGGAAATGAAACAGTAAGCACAGCAAATGGGACGTCCTCATCAATAGCAGGGACAGGAAGTGTCGCTATTTCTGAAATTTTGAAATTAGAACATGTCTTACATGTGCCGAACTTGGCTTGTAGTTTACTGTCCATTAGTAAGTTGACTAAACAAGCTAATTGTTGGGCTCATTTCTGTTCTACTCATTGTATATTTCAGGACCTCTCATCGGGGAAGATGATTGGCAGTGCTAAGGAGCATAATGGTCTCTACTATCTTGGTGAATCTACCGCGAGTAGTCTTTGGTCTCGAATCCAGTGCAGTGTTGCATCTACATCAGAAAATAAAGACTTTAAGGATCTTATGTTATGGCATAGGAGAATGGGTCATCCAAATTTCCAGTTTTTATGTCGTTTGTTTCCAGAATTTCTAGCCAATAAAAATTCTTCATTTCATTGTACTGATTGTGAACTTGCTAAACATCACAGATCCGTTTTCAAGCCTGTGGAATATAAGTCTACCCATCCTTTTTCCATAATCCATAGTGATTTGTGGGGTCCTACTCGTGTTACTAATCGTACTAATACAAAATGGTTCATTACATTTATTGATGACCACACCAGAATGTGTTGGGTTTACTTATTACAAGATAAGTCTTCTGTACCCTCTGTTTTCTCCAAATTCTATACTATGATAAAAAACCAATTTGATGCCACAATCCAAGTGCTTCATACTGATAATGGCACTGAGTACTTCAATAACACCATGGATCTGTTTCTAGCAGACCATGGAATTGTTCATAAAAGCACCTGTCCTAACACCCCTCAACAAAATGGCATTGCGGAAAGGAAAAACAAACATCTTTTAGAAGTTGCTCGTGCTTTATTATTCACATATACAACAACAACAACAACAACAAGCCTTTATCCCACTAGGTGGGGTCGGCTACATGGATTGCAAGACGCCATTGTACTCTATCATTTATTAAGCTTTTAGAAATATTATTAATTAAGAGATCACGTTCAACAACTTCCAAGAGTGTTCTCTTAGGCCTTCCTCTACCTCTCTTAATCGGACTCAAAGTTATATGTTCCACTCTTCTCACTGGTGCCTCCCTTGGTCTTCTTTGTACATGCCCAAACCATCTCAACCGATTTTCTACCATTTTTTCCTCAATAGGTGCCACCCTCACTTTTTCACGTATGTGCTCATTTCGAATTTTATCTTTACGTGTATGTCCGCACATCCATCGTAACATTCTCATCTCTGCTACTCCAACTTTATGCTCTTGCTGTCCCGTTAGAGCCCAGCATTCACTACTATATAACATTGCTGGTCTGATAGCAGTACGATAAAACTTTCCTTTAAGTTTATTAGGCACCTTACGGTCACAAATAACTCCTTTAGCTTTTCTCCAATTAAACCACCCAGCTTGAATTCTATGTGAAATATCTCCACTGATTTCGCCATCATTTTGAATAATGGCTCCCAAATATCTAAACTTTTCCACTTGAGGTATAATTTGATCTCCCAATTTCACTTCCAAATTATTTTCGAATAGTCCTTTACCAAATTTACAATATAAATATTCCGTCTTACTTCTACTCAGACGAAAACCTTTCGACTCCAATGTCCTCCTCCATAACTCAAGTTTGCAATTAACCTCTTCTCTTGTCTCTGCTATAAGAACTATATCATCCGCGAAGAGCATACATTTCGGGATTTCCTCTTGAATATGTTCCGTCAAAACATTTAAAATCAAGTTGAACAAATAAGGACTCAGAGATGATCCCTGATGTAGTCCAATCTTTATAGGAAAATCCTTTGTTTGACCACTAGGCGTTCTTATACTAGTTTTTACCCCCTCATACATATCTTGTATGGCTTTAATATAAGCAATCCGTACTCCCTTTTTTTCCAACGCTTTCCAAAGCACTTCTCTTGGTATACGGTCATAAGCTTTTTCAAAATCAATAAAAACCATGTGTAGATCTTTATCTTTACAACGATACTTTTCCATTAATCCCCTTAGTAGATAAATTGCCTCTGTAGTTGATCTACCTGGCATAAAACCAAATTGATTCTCAGAAATACTTGTCTCCAATCTCAACCTGTGCTCAATTACTTTCTCCCACAATTTCATTGTGTGGCTCATGAGTTTAATCCCTCTATAGTTAGTACAATTCTGAATATCTCATTTATTTTTATAAATAGGAATTAATGTACTTCTCCTCCACTCATCAGGCATTTTCTTGGACCGTAAAATCACATTAAATAACTTAGTTAACCATCTCACCCCTTCTTCACCTAAACATTTCCACGCTTCGATAGATATACAATCAGGTCCGTTAGCTCTACCATTTGCCATTTTCTTAAGAGCTTCCTTTACCTCCTTATCACGTATTTTTCGATAGAATGATAAATTTTGTTCTCCTTCACCAGTTACTAAATCCTCCAAGTTACTAGATGAATCCTCTCCATCATTGAAAAGTTTAGAAAAATAAGTCTCCCATCTATTTTTAATTTCATCATCTGTAACTAAAATTCTTCCCTCTTCATCCTTAATACACCTTACCTGTTCTAGATCTCTTGATTTTCTTTCCCTACTCTTGGCAATCTTATAAATATTTTGCTCTCCTTCCTTCGTCTCAAGGTTCTTATAAAATTCTTCAAAAGCTTTGGAACGAGCTTCACCCACAGCTCTCTTAGTTTCCTTCTTAGCCATATGGTACCTCTTCCAATTTTCTTCATTGTTACACAAATGTATGGCTTTAAAACAGTTCTTCTTATACTTGATTTTGTCCTGTACACTATTATTCCACCACCAAGACTCCTTATCTCTCGGACCAGAACCTTTCGATTCTCCCAAAACTACTTTTGCAACCTCCCGTATCTTTTTAGCCATATCCTCCCATATGATGTTAGCACTTCCCTGAGAATCCCAAATTCCTTTATCCAAAAGATTTCGCTTGAAAATATCTTGCTTCTCACCTTTTAATTGCCACCACCTAATCTTTGGTGTTACTACTTGTCGACGTTTTTGGATTTTACTCATAATACACACATCAAGGACTAGGACCCTATGTTGTGTCGTTACAGCATCTCCAGGGATCACCTTACAATTTTTACAAAGTTTTCTATCTGTGTTCCTAACCAAAAGAAAATCAATCTGCGACCTTGAGGCTCCACTTTTGTAAGTGATGAGATGCTCATCTCTCTTCTTGAAACAAGTGTTGGCAATCTTAAAATCATACGCCAATGAGAAATCAAGAAGAGTTTGCCCTTCATTGTTTTGCTCTCCAAAACCAAAACCACCATGCACCCTCGCATACTGACCAGCTTCCCTCCCGACATGCCCATTAAAGTCTCCTCCAATAAAAATCTTTTCACTCTGTGGTATGTGTCGAATCAACCCCTCCAGATCCTCCCAAAATAATTCCTTAAGACTGGCTTCTGTTCCGACTTGCGGCGCATAAGCGATAACAATATTAACAGTCTCACGTCCAATTATCATTTTTAAAGAAATAATTCTGTCTCCAATTCTGCTAACTTCTACAACGTTCTTCTTCCACTCATTATCTATAATGATGCCTACTCCATTGCGTGCACTTACTTTTCCTGTATACCAAAGTTTGAAACCTTGAATATCCTTAGCTCCTTCTCCACGCCATTTTGTTTCTTGCAAGCAAAGGATATTGATTTTCCTTTGAATCATAACCCCTACAACCTCTACAGATTTACAATTTAATGTCCCAACATTCCAAGTACCAAATCTAATTTTGCTCTTATGGACTAACTTCTTTAGCCGCGTGCGTCCAGAATGACGCGGTAGCCCTTGCTCATTTAATACTACATCCGGGCGCCGATGCAGCGGCTCTAACTCACTTATCACTGTACTCGAGCCATGCAGCGCGTTACTTACGGGCAACGACCTAGCATTAACATTATAACGTCTATTGTCCATGTTCATGATAGATTCAACAAATTTTTACATTGGCTGTTGATGGCCTAACACAACCCTCCTCCTTTACCCGGGTTTGGGACCGGCTATAAACATAGGCGGAGTTTATTATTCACATATAACGTTTCCAAATATTTCTGGGGTGATGCCATTCTTACAGCAACATACTTAATCAATCGCATGCCTAGTCGCGTTCTTTCTTATATTTCACCAATTGAGAAACTCAAAGAATCTCACTCCATCACTCATCTTGCCACTGACCTACCTCTTAAAATATTTGGTTGCACCACCTATGTTCACTCTTACCATTCTCAAAAACTGGATCCTAAAGCTGTCAAGTGTCTCTTCCTTGGTTATTCCTCAACACAGAAGGGGTACAAGTGTTTTGACCCTCATACTAAAAAACTCTACGTAAGTCGAGATGTTACCTTTGTTGAGCATGAACCCTTTTACCCAAATGCTTCAATTCAGGGGGAGAGAGGGAGTGACTTTCAGCATTTGGAAGATGTTTCAGGTCCTGTTATTCCAGAAAAACCAAACTCAGAAAATCCTCAATCTCAGTATCATACTGATTCTGAATCTCTTGTCCCTCATTCTCTTGTCCCTCATACCACCGAACTCAGAATCCAATCTCCTAGGCCAGAAACTAAGGTGAAAAGTCCTTCAAAGCATCATAAAAATGCAGAAAATGCACTGGAAAAGACACCAATCACTTACTCAAGGAAGAAATGGCGAGAAAGAGAGACTGTTATGCCTGAAGTACAGCCAGAATCTGAACTAAGAGGGGCTCCTGAGATTGAGAACATAGAGAGTAAAAAGTCATGGATGAGATACATGTCAGAGTTGCTCCTCCATTAAAGCTCTACTGTGACAACAAAGCTGCAATCAGTATGGTGCTAAATCCTGTCCAACATGAAAGGTCCAAGCATGTGGAAATTGACAGACACTTCATTAGGGAAAAAGTTGAGGAAGGAGTCGTGTGCCTCATCTACCTACCAACTAGACTCCAAGCTGCAGATGTGCTCACCAAGGGATTACACAAACCAGCGTTTGATAATTGTATTAGCAAGTTGGATATGATTAGCATCTATGATCCAACTTGAGGGGGAGTGTGGTTAGAAATAGTAATTATTTAATGTAAATATATGTTATTATTGGGAGAGATATTGGGTAGTTATAACAGAGTGATTTACGCGATTCACTTCCTGATATACTCCTCTGATTCTGTCTCCATCATTCTCGGAGATATGATCAGTCTTGCTTATGTATATATTGCTGTACATACCTTCGGATGAATATACCAGAGTAATTCGGCTCAATAACTTCAGAAAGTCTATGTCTCACCGCCAGATGTTCGTATGCTGGTTGTTGCCCCCCATACTAATATTGTATAGCTCTAATATAAACAACCTGAACTCCTTTCTTTTTCAAAGCATTTCAAAGTACTTCTCTGGATACATAATCATAGGCTTTTTCCAAATAAATGAAAACCATGTGTAAATCTCTACCCTTGCTTCGATACTTTTCCATTAATTCTTAGTAGATAAATCGTTTTTGTAGTCTCCCTTCTCGACATAAAACTAAATTAATTTTAGAATTGCTAGTCTCCAACCTCAAGTTATGTTCAATCACTCTTTCCCATAATTTTATTGAATAACTCATAAGCTTAATCCCTTTGTAGTATTTATGACCCAAAAAAAAAAATTAAAGTATGAATATATTTATCTGAATTTATATACAATCAATTTCCTCTTAACATTCTGAAGGGAAACATCAGGGATCATTTCAATTTAAAAGCTTAAGCTGACAAGTGAAGACTCGATAATATTTACTCTCTAACAAGCCTTTTCAGGTGAAAACCTGTTGAGGCTTGGAATTGTGGAGAAAGAACAGGCCTGCTATGTGATAAGCTGAGCCTGAATCTTGGTTTTAATGTCAAGGATCAACTCTAAATCAGTTGGTCGTAGAGTTTTCAATTTCATGTCAGTGACCATCTGAACTTATGTTAAGTACAGCACCTTGTGCATTTTGCCCAAATTTAATTTAAAGAATCTAGAGTGGGTTCCATTGAATTTTAAGCAACTTGTCTTATAGAGGTTTTGATATGATGTCAAGAGTTAATTCAACCTAAAAGCTTGAGTTGTTGAGTGAGAACAATTTCATTAATAAATTCTAACATAGAATTTGGCTCCTACACTTTTTTAAAAAGTGCAGGGACGTATAGCAAAACTCAAGCGAAGTGTAGGGATCTAAACCTATATTTTTCCCAATAAATAAAGACCCATTTTACATGTTATATGTCAATAATACATATTTCCATACCATTAATCTCATATTTAAGTCACAACTCAAATGTCAGTAATAAAACTATACCCACTAATTCAAACCCCTTGAGTTACCCACCGGCCTTCACAGATGTTTTATGGGTTGTGGGATAGAATGGAATAGGCTTAATCCGGAATAGGGTGGCTGTCAATGACTGGAGAATCCTCTTTTGTTTGATGAGTGCTTTGAGGATAGCCGGGATTTCTGGATTAGACTTGAAGATGTGTAATGTTTTGGGAGGTTCTTTTGGGTTTTATGTACCTGGTAGTCAAAGGCTATGTCCTGGCGGTTGGGAAACAATTATGTACTCCTATATCCAGAATCATGAAATCCAACCATCTCACAATACTTGTGGTTATCATTCAAGAAAGTGATTTTCTGTAGGATAGATCTTATGATCTAATAGTTTATGCTGATATCTTAAACACTTGTTTTCTTTCTAATTGAGATACCAAGTCATTTGCATGATATACTTTGGATATCACCTTCGAAATATTGGACCTGCCATCCTGCATGTTTGCAGTTGATGAAAATAAGCCGAGTGATAGTGCTGACAGGAGAGAGAGGAAATGGAGATGAACTTGAGAGAAACTGACTGGCTCCCAGTATAAATAACCTTTGCCTAAACGTAACTTATATGTATACTATCTTGGTCTCATTTGCTGCTTTCCTTGTTTTGGGAATCCGGAAAATGTTAATATTGATGCTTATGACACGATGGTTTATCTTTAGTGAAATATCCTCGTTCTATATGTTTTCAGTGAGTGCAAGCATTGCGTTGCCCATCTCGAAGCTTCTGTTGCTGTTCTTCTTTATTGTCTTGAATTGGTACATGATAAAGATCTTTTTTCATGGGAAGTAGAAGAGGGAGTAAAATGTGCTTGTTTTCTTCGAAGAGTTTATGAGGAGGTATGTGATGTCTATTAGTGTGTCTGTACGTACTTTCTGAGCTTAAATGTATCATTACCTTGCCTTCTTGCATGTTAATATGGTAAACTCTTCCTTCTTTCTCTTATTCCTGCCTTGGGTCTCTTTATAAACAAGTTGCATGTCTATTTCAACCAACGTATGAAAAAACATGTTCTTTGTATGAATTAGCCTTGCAACATATGGCATTGCTTCCTTGCCAAGCCTTAATATTGGTGATGGAACTTTGGTTTTCAACTTGATTAATTTGCAAATATCTACTGGTTGCACAAATGAGCTACATAAAAATTCACATGGTTATACTTGATACACGATGCCTTGTTTATTTTCTGCTTACCCATTTTTTATGATCATGCTGTAGGTAAAACAGCAGAAAGACATATTTAACCGGCAATGCTCTCTGTTTCTGTCAAACTACATCTGGGTTTATTCTGGATACGGTCCCAAAAGGAGTGGCATCAGAAGGTTTTCTATTAGTTTTTCTGTGTTGCCCTTTTCTCTTCCATTTTCTGAAAAAATTTGCCTAAATTTGATTACACTCTACATCGCAGAAAAGATTGCCCTTTGTGTTTTTTACTGACATTAATCTACGTCCATGTCAGATGTTCGCAAGTTTCCTAAAATACTGAAGCCTTTCATTCTCATAATTTGAATGTCAAAATCAGCAAGCTGCAAATATTGTGGGAGATTAAATTTGATAGGCTGCGTTTGAAATGCACTAACTATACTGAAAGCAATAGTCGGCTTATTGAATGTTTACCTGTTCTCAGTAGCATTAGCTGATGCCACGTGTTGCATTTGTGACTTTGCAGAGAAATAGATGAAACTCTAAGACCCGGTGTCTATGCTTTAATAGACGCTTGCTCACTTGATGATCTTCAGTATCTTCATACTGTTTTTGGAGGTAAACAATCTTGATTCGATAAGTTTTTGGGCGAGAAATCAAAATTGAAGAATTTATTTTCACTTATTTTTTCTCTCCTGTTTTGTAGAGGGACCTTGCAGAAACACTTTAGCAGATCTGCAGCGTGATTATAAATTGAATTACAAATACGAAGGAAAAGTGTGACTTGCTAATTTCCTGATCCTGTTAAATTTTGGTTCTAATCTTGATTAATTCTCCTTCTCGCATTGATGTATTTCCACCTGTAAGATGGCAACATACGGTGTACTTGCCATGTTTACTCTGATAGATCTATGAGTAACTTGATTTATTCCAGCTTTACAGTTAAAATCCAGATATCCTAAACCAAGCCCCGTCATGTGAGGTGGACAGTTTTGTTTAGATCGTCATATTGATTGATAGAGGATGCGTATGAAATATTAAGAGACTTGCAACGGAATTGTACAAAAAACATGGAGTTTCAAATTTCAACGTATTCTAGTGTATTGATTTGTACACACATTGTTTTTGTTAAATCTCAGTGTACGGATAGTTTATTACTTAAGAATCAACTGGTCATCTTTGTTTTGTTTATTCATTTTTGGCTAACTAAATCGTGCCCATGAATTGATGTGGTGACAATGTCATCGATGCATATTGCACTTTTCTGGCAAGGAATTTAGATGTTTTTAATCTCAATGAACAGGGGGGGTGTGGTGTAATGCAATTTTAAGCTCCATGAATTGACGCGAATCCCTTACCCAAAAGCCAAAGCCCTACATCACCGGGGAAAAGGCCGTACATTAACCAAAAATAAAAATACAGCTTCAACCGCTACCTTTTGTTCTGGCCGCGCACAACACGAAAAGGGAAGAGAGAAAGGACCCCGCCCGGGGGAGGGAGGCACGCCACATTACTTAAAGGAAAAACAAAAAGCTGAAAACGCTACCTCGTGGGAAATAATATCTTCCTTTAAATGGGATTTGAGTCCTTAGCCATTCACTTAAATGACAAAGACTTGTACTATTCACGATAATTTAGTTGGTTTCATGCAATCCCCAATTAAAAAATAAACAAAAGCATAATTTTATTTTAAAAAAATAATACTAAAATTTAAGTTTATTTTACTATGTTTCTTTTGTAACATTAATATTGATAACCTGGATAATAAAATTTCTTACATAAATTAAATAAGCTGCCTATATTGATTTTATGAAAATAAATTAGGCGCTTAAATTTATGTGCTTGAGGTACTTGGATTTTAAATTTAAAAGACAAGGTAAAAATACTAATAGTCAAAGTTAATGACAGGGTCGGTGATGTGTGTATAATTTTTGTTGTTTTCTTGGTATGATGAGGTAATTTATATTATAATAGTTGAGGTAATTTAATTTCATGTAATTGACATTTTTTAATTAAATAGGTGTAAATTTTAGTTTAGATTTGATTATATTTATTAAGATTTTATATCTATTTAATTAATATTCATATTTTTTTCTCATCACTTAGGTATAAGATCAAAAGAAATATCGGTACAAAATCTGCTCATATTTTTTTTTATTTTACAGGAGAAAAAAGGAATAAACTAAATAGAAGAAAAGAAAGAAAAGAAATATATATATATATATATATATATATATATATATATATATTATATATATTATATATAAAGGTGAAGGAAGTGACTTGAAATCTCATAATATATAATATATATATATATATATATATATTTTAAAATAGTGATGGAAGACGAGATGCGAACGTGATATTGGGAAAGGAAGAAACGTGTGTACTGACTCTTTAGGAGATGCGAACGTGATTAAAAAGAACGAGATAAAAGACTTCTCTAAATATTTTAGTTATTATCCTAATACTACTGCTTAATTATTGAACATTTTAAAAGGTTTTAACTTGTGCTAAACTATCAAGTTTTCTAAAATCAACGTCAACACTGATTTTTTAAAAGCTTTTTCCTCTTTCAAAAATAACTAAAAAGATTAGAGATTTTATAATAAGAGATTAGATAATCATTCTTGACCATGTCTATAGAGAAGCCAACACCTATGCAGATTGGCTTGTTTGGCATGCTATTAGAGATAGTTTGAATATCAAGATTTTAAATGATTCATATTTAAAGTGCAATAATTTTTTGAATGCTGACATGACTTAATTGTTATCTTTTGCACAGCTTCAGTCGTGGCCTTTCCCATTCCAAAAAAGAGAGAGAGAGAGAGAGAGGAACAAACGTAAACGATATATATATTAGAGTTTCACATTGATATAAGAGGATGAGTCTTCATTTTAATTATAAATACCCCCTCCATTGAGAGGAAAAGCTTCAAGTTACTTATTTAAATACTTCAAAAATTCTCTTTGATATATTTGAAGCTTGTAGAAGTAGTTTAAATGTTGAAAGCAAGATTGTTGAGAAGTTTTACAAATTATAATTATTTCTTTTCTACTCCTTAACTTTCTCCTCGATTGTTTTTTATTATTAGTGATTTTAGAACTGTGTTATTTTTTTACTTCTTAATTTTCTCTATGATTATTTTTTATGATTGGTGATTTCAGAATAGTGTTATTTGATTAGATTATATGTTTCTAAATTATCCAATTGGGATAGGGATGCAACTCAATTGAAGAGTTAGTTTTCTATTTTCTTTCTTTGACTCTTTGCATTTATATTTATAAATATTTTTACTTTTTTCAAATATATTTATTTTTCTTATTTTTCATATTAATTTAATGATTGGCCACCATTTAATTAAATCTATAGATAATCTTGATGGATTGGGAGGTAAAGAAGGTATCTAAATATAAAGAAATAGATATAAATAACTAAGCTAGGAATAGTAAAATAGTATTAGAAATTTGTGGTGACCTAAATTATAGCTTCACGATTTAATTAATTGTTTGGATATTGTGGGAATGAATTCAACGCTAACTAAAAAGGCATTAATGCTTCAGGAAAAATGACATTTTAAGAATAGTTGTCACTATAATTGATTAAATAGTCAATTTAAAAGGTAGAAATTAGTAGCCTATAAGGTGAATCCTAAACCAAAGTGGTTATGTTTTAATCATCATTATTTTCTTGATTTATTTTTATTTTTATATTCTCATCAAATAATTCATTTTATCTATTTTTTTGAATTATTAATTATTTAAATTAGCAAAAAATGTAAATTTTATGTAAGTTCGACATTTGAAATACTTCGAGTAATTTATTAATGTGATCCCGTACATTTATGGAAGCGATCAATAATCATTTTCATTTAAGTAAAAATTAACTTTGTTATAAGAGAGGATATTGTTTAATATTTTTTAGAATTAAAATATTAAAATAATAATAAAATTAAATGATGAAATTAAAATTTAATATAAAATATATAATTAAAAAGTATAAAATTTGCGTATGTGACAACAAAGAGAGTTAATTTGTATTGTCACGAAGTCTACTTATATTTGTAAAATAGAATGCGTCAAAATTGAAATGAAAAAAACGTCAAAATCAGAGTTGAATTGCTGAAATAAATGTTCTTACATCTTTCAGTCAACTGTATTTTCTAAAAATTAATTTTCTAAAATATCCCGTGTGTCTTACAGTTCAATTCATTAGCAGAGTCTAAATAATTTAAATCCTCTAAAATATGTGAATTTTCTTTCTCACACACACACACATATAATCATTTTTTATAAAATATAAAATCTTCTCCTTTTTTCTGTGAGGGGAAATTCACAAATCCGAATGCCTTAGCGGCCCCTTAGCGCATGAACGTCTGACTTTACCGTCATTCCTGGGAAACACGAATTGCTCAACCAGATAAAGTTGAGTAGCAATAAGAAGTCCTGTGTGGTTGATATTATTAATCCGATCTTGGGCATGATTCTCCTGTTCTTGTGCTGATTTTATTATTATTATTATTATTATTATTATTTTTGTGTAAAAGTCAAGTGCGGATTCTTGTTTCTTCTGCGAAATTTCTCACAGCTTTCCTTGCTATAATTGCTGTATTTGACTTCAATTATCCTCTCTGGTTGGTGAGCCTCTACAACCCTAATTCCAACTTTCGCAGGCCTTCATCCGAGCTCCATTGATGGGTTACTACTATTACTGTAAACCGAAACCTTGCGACGCTCATACTTCATACGTTGTTCTCTTCTTGCTCGTGGCTCTGACGCTTCTGGCCATACCATATCTCTTCAAGAACGGATCTGAAGAAGTAGTTGAAAAGACGACGTCGAATTTGTCAGCGCTGCTCGTAGCAATTCTGGTTCTAATCGTCCTGATTCTGGTATCGTTCATGCGACCTCCAAGAAAGGTTTGTGTGGCGCCTCCTTGCTATCGATGTAAGCATGGCTGCCTTTGTTACTGGTAGCCCAAGAATTGCTGAATGAAGTGTATGTAATTGTGTTGTTTTCTTCCTGTTATTATGATATGTGTATCTTGGAATCGGATTTTGTTCATCAGCAATTTTACAGATATAGTTTAATCCTAGATTCCCAGAATCAATGAAACAGATTAATAAGGGAATATCGTATTTCAAATGTGAATTGAGGGCTCTCTGTGCAGATGTACTGTTGTAGTGTGATCTATATTATCCCCGATCAGAGTAAATAAAGAACGTTTCTGTGTAGGACGATGATGCTAATTCTGGCGTATTTGATTGTTTGTGAAATGGAATTCTTGTGGACATTTTGTATTCTCTTTTCCAGTTCTTGATGAGTAAATTAGTGGTGGTGGAGAGACGGGAAGTTCAAAGCTTCAGAGCTCTAGTTTACAGAGCCTGATTAATATTTGGTTTTAGAAAAGGCGGCTCGGTTAATTGCAGTTAAGTTTATCACCAAAGAATTAAAAAAAAAAGAAAGAAAGTTTTAGAATCCAAGTGCAAAACATGATTAATTTAAGAGGTTAACCACATCCGTATAACAATCAAATAAATTGTGTGTTTTGCGAAGACTTCGAGGAGAGCTGTGGATGCAAAATATTAAAAAAAAAAAAAGAATCTTACGCATATTTCTGTTTTTCTGTAATGTTTTATTCAAGTGCATAATTACATGATGATTAAACGTATACTCCATTTTATCCCCAAAAAAAACGTATACTCCATCATCAACATGCCATTGCCATTGTAGGATAACTCTTGGTTTAAGAAATATGTGTGGAATTAGAACTTGATTTTTATGAAGAAACAGTTTAGTTTGTTTATTATTAGATTACTTTAAAATTTATGAACTCAATAAAATATTGACTAAGGCAAACAATAAAGAATCCGCTCTTAAAAAAAAAACTTTTTTCACTGAATTAACTATAATAAAGTATTTCCTCCAATTCAATTTATAAAATAATCTTAAATGAAATTATACATGTTAATAAAGTTAATTAAATATACCTTCCAATCTTATTTTATTTTTAAAAATATTTTTTATTTAATATAACTTTATTTATGAAAGATTAAAGAGAGAGAGAATATAATCATGAAGGGAGGACAATATTAAAATAAATATAATTAATAAAATTTTATTTGTATCAAAGAATGGTATATTTTGACATTGAATTATATCTAAAATTAATTGGAAGAGATGGAGCAATAAAAGGAATGATTAAAAGGAGAAAATGACCCATCACCTAATCTTTGCCCATGTGTCACCACTTTTGCTCATTGATGTTGTTTGATACACTCCTAACCTCCATCTAAAGCGGCTTTAATCCATTTCAATTCAATAATGAAGTCTGACTTTTTGTGCAAAACTATTTGCAATGGGGTTGCATTGCACTGTCAATATGAATAGACTTTTGAACGTTAAAAAGCAGATGCAAAGTGTCCTAGCTGAATGTCATCTTCGCCGACACGCGTTTTGTATTCATAATGACGGTAAACAAGTGTTTCTGTAAATCCACTCATCAACTTATTTTCACAACACTATACATAAAGAGGTTTCTTCATTTTCATATATCGCAGGTAATTTCATTTACTGGCAAATGATGGGAGGCAAATGAGATTGATATTTCAATTCGACGAAAATGTAAATAAAGAAATGAACATCTCCCGTGACTGGCCTACCATTGGTAATTCCAAGGAGAGTGTTTTGACTTGTGAAGTTATTCGTGAACTTATTTTAACATGTAATACTGTCTAGTAATTTGTAAAGCATATCACATGAACCTTGCGACGCTTGTACTTCAAACGTTGTTCTGTTCTTGCTCGTGGCCCTGACGCTTCTGGCCATACCATGTCTCTTCTCGCGCGGACCTGAAGAAGCTGTTGAAAAGACGACAATGAATTGGTCAGCTCTGCTTGTACCAATCCTGGTTCTAATCATCCTGATTCTGGTATTGTTCATGCGACCTCCAAGAAAGGTTTGTGCAGCGCCTCCTTGCTATCGATGTAAGCATGGCTGCCGTTGTTACTGGTATCTCAAGAAGTGCTGAATGAAGTGTATGTATTGTGTTGTTTTCTTCCTGTTATTATGATATGTGTATCTTGGAATCGGATTTTGTTCATCAGCAATTTTACAGATATAGCTTAATCCAAGATTCCCAGAATCAATGAAACAGATTAATAAGGGAAAATAGTATCTCAAATGTGAATTGAGGGCTCTTTGTGCGGATGTACTGTTGTAGTGTGATCTATATTATCCCCGATCAGAGTAAATAAAGAACGTTTCTGTGTAGGACGATGATGCTAATTCTGGCGTATTTGATTGTTTGTGAAATGGAATTCTTGTGGACATTTTGTATTCTCTTTTCCAGTTCTTGATGAGTAAATTAGTGGTGGTGGAGAGACAGGAAGTTCAAAGCTTCAGAGCTCTAGTTTACAGAGCCTGATTAATATTTGGTTTTAGAAAAGGCGGCTTGGTTAATTGCAGTTAAGTTTATCACCAAAGAATTAAAAAAAAAAAAAGAAAGAAAGTTTTAGAATCCAAGGGCAAAACATGATTAATTTAAGAGGTTAACCACATCCGTATAACAATCAAATAAATTGCGTGTTTTGTGAAGACTTTGAGGAGAGCTGTGAATGCAAAATATTAAAAAAAAAAATCTTACGCATATTTCTGTTTTTCTGTAATGTTTTATTCAAGTGCATAATTACATGATGATTAAAAGCATAGTCCATCATCAACATGCCATTGCCATTGTACGCTAACTCTGGGTTTAAGAAAGATGTGTGGAATTAGAACTTGATTTTTATGAAGAAACAGTTTAGTTTGTTTATTATTAGATTACTTTAAAATTTATGAACTCAATAAAATATTGACTAACGGCAGACAATAAAGAATCCGCTCTTTAAAATATAAAAAAAAACTTTTTTCCCTGAATTAACTATAATAAAGTATTTCTTCCAATCCAATTTATAAAATAATTTTAAATAAAATTATATATATCAATAAAGTTAATTAAATATACCTTTCAATCTTATTTTATTTTTAAAAATATTTTTTATTTAATATAACTTTATTTATGAAAGATTAAAGAGAGAGAGAATATAATAAGGACAATATTAAAATAAGTATAATTAATAAAATTTTATTTTTATTAAGGTATATTTTGACATTGAATTATATCTAAAATTAATTGGAAGAGATGGAGCAATTAAAGGAATGATTAAAAGGAGAAAATGACCCATCACCAAATCTTTGCCCATATGTCACCACTTTTGCTCATTGATGCTGTTTGATACACACCTAACCTCCATCTAAAGCGGCTTTAATCCATTTCAATTCAATAATGAAGTCTGACTTTTTGTGCAAAACTATTTGCAATTGGGTTGCATTGCACTGTCAATATGAATACACTTTTGAACGTTAAAAAGCAGATGCAAAGTGTCCTAGCTGAATGTCATCTTCGCCGACACGCGTTTTGTATTCATAATGACGGTAAACAGGTGTTTCTGTAAATCCACTCATCAACTTATTTTCACAACACTATGACGTAAAGAGGTTTCTTCATTTTCATATATCGCAGGTAATTTCATTTAGTGGCAAATAATGGGAGGCAAATGAGATTGATATTTCAATTCGACGAAAATGTAAATAAAGAAATGAACATCTCCCGTGACTGGCCTACCATTGGTAATCACAAGGAGAGTGTTTTGACTAGTGAAGTTATTCGTGAACTTATTTTAACATGTAATACTGTATAGTAATTTATAAAGCACTCAATTCTTACGATAGATCAAGATCACTTGTCTGCTGTTGGTGTCTTCACTCTCGAATTCCCTGTCACGCCGTCTCACAAATCTTTGTAGCGTCTTCCTTGGGTTTTCATGGCACTCTTCCTCCGACCAACGTTGTTAAGTGCTGGTGAATAATTGGTGTTCACTTTACAGGTAAATCTTGGGTAATTTTTAAGATGTTCTGGTATATTAAAAAAAAAAAAAGTGTCTAGCGATGTGAAGAATTATTTGAAAGGGAATGTAGAGAATGGGAAGAGAGACTTTGAGAAATTTGACCTTTAAAAAATAGCTAAGTGGAGTTAAAAAATTCTAGTTAACTTTTTCTTATCCTTTTCTCTTTTATTTTTTCTATATTAAACTTTTTTTAACCACAATTATCATTGTTTTATGTTTAAATCAAACTCATTAATCTCCATTCCCCAACCAGAGTAAAAGAACATTTTTAGGATAGGTAAAGCATTCAGTCAAGCTAAAAGGGATGATAAAAGGAATTTATCACTCAGTGTGAATCTCTGATCTGACCAGCCTGTAATCTCTTCTTTATTAATGTAACCGTTTTTTCATTCCCAAAAATAAACAAGAATCAAGCTGCTTCTGTGTTTTGCTCATTGTAAAATATGGTTCCCCCCTCCACACACACTAAGTAAAAGACCCACAAATAGTCTTGCTTTAATCTCAAACTGGAGCCAGCTATCTTGGACTATAATTTGACAAGGACTTGCAGCATTTATGTAAAATATTGAACATTGATGACAAGACAAGAAAGGAAAAACAAGAAAAATCAGGCTTTCTAACATTGAAGTGAGCAACAATAATTTGAAATCACTTATTGCCTTTAAAACGCTCCTGTTATAGCCAGTTGCTACAAGACAATAACTCATTGGAAAAGAGAAGGATTTTCCTACCACCAGCAAAGAAATAGTAGAAAGACATCAAAACCAATCTGTTATTATACACCAACAGTAATGCCACAAGAGGCATGTTTTATCGTTAAATAACTCTTTATTGCCAAAATCACATTAACTCGTCAAGCCGCTACTTTCTTGGATGTGACTGAATTAACGATGATGGCAAACTCAGGGCCCTGTATTATACAATAAGTTTAAAAAAAAAATTAATGGACACTCAATTCGCTTCCCTTGATCAAAATGTTTGAATAAAGAACAATACGGTCATGTACCTTCAAAGAAGCACCACCCACAAGAAATCCGTCAATATCTTCTTGCTTTGCAAGCTCAGAACAGTTGCTCCCATTAACAGATCCTGAATGACACAAGTAGTTTAGTACATATCTTTCCAAAGTTTGAAATCAAATGAGAGCTGCAACAACAAAAAGCCTTATCCCATTAGGTGGGGTTAACTACATGGATTATATGACGCCATTGTGCTCTATCATTTATTAAGTTTTTAAAAATATTGTTAATTAAAAAGTTTCGCTCAACAACCTTCAAAAGTATTCTCTTCAATCTTCCTCTACTCTTCTTGACAGGGCTCAAAATTATCTGTTTCACTTTTCTCACAGGTGCCTCCCATGATTTTCTTTGCACATGTCCGAACTACCTAAAACAATTTTCTACCATTTTTCCTTCAATAGATACCAAGCCCATTTTTCCCCGTATTCACTCATTTCGAATTTTGTCTTTACGTGTATATCCACATATTCATCTCAACATTCTCATCTCTGCTACTCCAACTTTATGTTCTTGCTGTCCCGTCAAAGCCCAACATTCCCTACTATATAAAATTACTGATCTTATAACAGTTCGATAAAATTTTCCTTTAAACTTATCAGGTACCTTACAATTACAGATAATTCTTTTAACCTTTCTCCAATTAAACCACCCCGCTTGTAAAATCAAATGAGAGCTAGAGTCTCAAAAATAGTCAGACATACTAAACCTTAAGCAAAGCAAAGTATTTCAACTGAGAAAGTTAGGGTCAATCTAATTTCAATAAGAGGTTGGTGTACAATTGTTACCATATCAGCCAATGGTTTTACTATCGCAGTTACCAAATTACAATCAATCTATTGAATCTAAATCTATGTTAACCTTTCACTTCCTATATTCCTATTGATTAATCAATGATAATTCCTAAGTGGACAAGCCAATTTCTCTTTATATTATATCAAAACCGTGAAATGAACTTACTTTATCTGTAATTTAAAAAAAAAAAAAGGGTTGGCAAACCATTCATGACGCAAATAAAATCATCTCGTGTGAACTCCAGTTAGAAGATTAAGTATAAAATTTCGATTAAGAGACAACAATGGAGAGAGAGAGAGAGAGAGAGAGAGAGAGAGAAAGTCTGATAACAATTTTAAAATTTTCAGAACTGATCTACCTCCGTAAATAATTCGTGTTTTAGATGCAACTTCAGCAGAGACATTCTTCTTCAGCCAATCACGAACAGCTACATGTACTTCTTGAGCTTGCTCGGGAGTGGCCACTTTGCCAGTTCCAATGGCCCATACTGGCTCATATGCAATAACTATATCGTCCCAACTAGGTACAGCATCTGCGCACAGTGAACACAGCAAATGTAATACAAACGAACTGCAATCTCCCCCTCCTTTTTAATTTATTTATCCTCAAAAGGTAGGAAACAGAAAATAACGAAACCTCAGCAATAAAAACCTCACCTGCATAAGCCTTCAACTGCTGGAAACAAACATCAAAAGTTTTCCCGGATTCCCTCTCTTGTAACAGCTCCCCAATGCATGCTATCACCCCAACACCCTGGCTCAAAGCATAGGCAGCTTTCTTTCCTATAAACTGGTTGGCAGAGCAACAGTTAATTTCTTGACCATTTTGCATCTCTTAGAACACTGACCATATTTTCCAAGAGAACTACTGTAGAAATTATTTCTGAAAATTTTCACCTCATTATTTTCTCCAATAATATGCCTCCGTTCAGAATGTCCAAGAATAACCCATTTGCAGCCCATGTCTTTAAGTTGCTCCACACTACAAGTGTCAGGTGGCAGTAAGTAACCAAATGACTTGAGTTTTGTTATGTAATTGTAATAAATGAGAAAATAATTAAGATTTAATAAGGGCTTAAATAGATTTAGATATGATTTATGATTTAAATGGGATTTAGATAGGATTTGATATTTAAATAT